AAATAAAACTTATTTTAAAAATTCTATGACAACGAAGACATATTTTAATTACTTTGTCTTTGATGAATCAAGTTATTGTGTCTACTTATTTATTTGCATGCGAGGGGACCCGGGTTCAAAACCCGGCACTTCCAAATCGCGCTCGTGCATCACTGCCCCAAAATGCCCTGGTACGACCTAGTGGGGAGGGTCCGCTCTCCCTCTCGAAATGCTCTCACACGGCCACGCGTATATAGCCTCTGCCATGGAAGTCCTACTCGCTGCCTTCTCGTGACGGGGGTGTTGTTTACGAAAACGAGAGGATGAAAAGCGAATGTCCGTCGCTTTAACCAGATTCCAAACCAATAGTGCACATGGGCTCGAGGATCCTGCGGGAACAAATGGCGTATGATCCTATTGTTGGTCACCGGCTACTATGGGACTGTATCTTCTTACGTTGATCCACTGCCTTGTAGGTCAGACCTCTAGGTCGAAGGCTCCGAGTGTGACTCCCTAAGAAAACCACCTGCTTCGGTTTGGGCACCCGGGCAGTATCGTAGTCCTCACACATATCGAATGAGATTTGTGTGGCGCATATGTATTTGGTGCCTCATTGTACGAATATCTATGTGTTAAAAATAAAATAGTAGTAACTTCTCTGTATTTGTAATGTTTACATAACAATCTACAAAAAAAATTTGAGACAATATAGAAATGAACATTTATCATATTTCATTTGAAATATTGTTTTTATTAATTTTTCTAATAATTCTCTTCATTAACTACTGTAATGTTCTATTTATTTCTATTGTATTATTTAGTTAGTCAACTTAAACGTCAACGTGATATGATGGGTTAAATTGAATAATCATACACACACACATACATACACTACTCACTAAACAAGACAAAAACATTAACTTTATTGACAAAAAGTAAATAATAATTCATCTAATTTGTATTCATCATCAACATTCATGAAATGGAAATGAATGTCAGATTATTCATTAATTTTGTCATGTAAATGATTATCCACGTTTGTATATTTTTTTTGTTGTTGTTGTATAATGTAATATTATTAATAAATTGTTTGAATCATTGTTCACCCAAGAGAATCGAATGATTAAAAAGCTTTCTTACCTCATCTTTTTACTACTTTTTTGGATTGTTTTTCGTTTAACCAAGACTTAAGTAAGCATATATGCAAAATCAGTAAGAAACATTTGAACTGTTTAACATGAATTATCAAAGTAAAATCCTAATCTTTGAGTCAGTCAGTCAGCTACAACGTAGGACCAGGCACATATATGCATCGGTCCAAGTTGCCATACCACATTAACATAAGATGGACACCGGATTCAAAAAAGTAGTTAATTCAGATGTGGTAATATATAAAAGAAAGATTGCAATAACGATATAGTACAGGAAGAAAGAATTAGTTCGTAGAAAGAAATTGTATGAAGCGATTTTGATCTCATAGTTTAGGGGAAGACAGAGAGTGAATACACCGATGCCATTGTGATCGATTCTGAGCCATGTCACCAAGAGTCTCCAACCATTGGTTACGATAGTCACGCGAACCCAAACCAAGTAGTCTGCATCTACCAACATGGCTCAGACTAGAAGTTAGTGTCTTCAGGCACTGATGCCACGTTTTGGTTTGACCGCCCCTAACTTTCTTCCAACCATCTCCAATACCGGATAGCATTGCACGTCGTGGTAATCGGTGTTCAGGCATACGTAATACGTGGCCCAAACATCTCAGTCGATGGAGATTCATAACCTCATCAACTGATTTACCATCATTTCCTAATACCCTGCGTCTAACCTCACTATTACTTATCCGGTGATCCAAGCAGATGCCAGCAATATTTCTAAGGCATCTGTGGTCAAATACTAATAGCTTACGAGTGTCTTCTACTGTTAATAGCCATGTTTCTCTGCCGAAAAGTAAAACAGAACGGACTGCCGCGCAGTATACTCGTCCTTTTATTGATAGACGGATATCTCGCCTTCGCCAAAGGTGAAGTAAGTTGGCAAAAGCCAAGCGAGCTTTTCGAATCCGTGCTGAGATTTCGTCCGATACCAGCCCATTAGGGCTGATCAGACTTCCAAGATAAGTGAAGTTGTCAACGCGTTCGACTACTTCACTCCCTATCCTTAGTTCAGGTGTTGACGCAGACCAGTCCTGAAGCAACAACTTGCATTTAGAGGGAGAGAAGCGCATCCCAAACATTCTGGCATTGTTGCTTAGTGCTACCAGAAGACTCTGCATTTTGTCAGCGTCTTCACCAAACAGGACTATGTCATCTGCGTATTCTAAGTCGATAAGTGGACCTCCTGGAAGGAGATCAATACCCGAGAATTCAGTCGACGAGAGTGTTATTTCCATCAATAGGTCTATGATGAAGTTAAACAAAAATGGAGAAAGTGGACAGCCTTGACGGACACCACTTGAGGTTGCAAAAGTAGATGACAGTTCGCCATAAGCCCTGACTCGACTAGTAGTGTTCGAGTAAAGAGCCTTCACAAGGTTTATGTACTTCTGAGGTACGCCTTTCAATGACAGACACTGCCACAGAATCTCGCGGTCTACAGAGTCAAATGCTGCTTTTAAGTCAAGAAAGACCACCATCGTCGGACGCCGATAAGTATGCCTGTGTTCTAGAACCTGACGAATGGTGAATATGTGGTCGATGCAGCCACGACCAGGTCTAAAGCCAGCTTGGTTCTCTCGTGTTTGTAGTTCACGAGTCTTAGTTAGGCGTTTGATAATTATCGAGGCCAGTATTTTAGATACTATGTTTGTTAAACTAATCCCTCTGTGGTTGTCACAGGATGATTTTGACCCTTTCTTATATATTGGGACGATAAGTGATTGCGACCAGTCAGATGGGATAACGTCTAACTCCCAGATCTTAGCTAAAATATTAGTCAACCTAATCGCTAAAATTGGACCACCATCCTTAAAGACTTCTGGAGCCAATCCATCTGGACCAGCTGCCCTTCCTCGTTTCAGATTAACTATAGCCTTTTGAACTTCAGCAAGAGTTGGGGGACCTACTTCAATGTTCCATTCACATTGTCTGGGAATGGAGGGTAGTTGTAGAGTAGCTGAAGGCCAGCTGAACTGTTCTCTAAAATGTTCCGCCCATCGTTCTAAACGTCTGGACTGGGAGCAGATGAGAGTATCGCTTTTTCCGAAATAATCTCACTTACACTTGACTTATTAATTCCAGTTTCTTTTATTAGTCTGTAAAGCTGTCTTGTGTTCCCTATAGTCGCCGCCTTTTCCATCTCTTTTGCTTTCGTTGCCCACCACTGCTCACGGTCGTTCCTTAGACTTTTTCTTAACCTAGATCTGATTTGTTGTCGCTCTTCATCATGTTCGGAACCTGATGGGACGAGTTTGCGAGAATCCATCAGTGTGATAGACCTTGAAGAAATCCACTGGTTCCTTGTAACTCTGTGGTTTAAGTCACTAATAGATGTCACTGCTGTTTCCACAGCTGCTTGAATATCCTTCCAAGCAACATCTGGGTCAGCCTCGTCTTCACAACTACCTAAGTGTGACCTCAGTTGTTCCTGGAACCTACTTTTGGTTTTCTCGTTACTCAACTCAGTTCTAATGGGTCTTTTTAATGTGGCTTTTTTGCGTCCAGTGAGGCGCAAGCAGATGCGTGCCCGTATTAGGGCATGGTCGGAGTCCAAGCAGGTACTCCAGAATGAGCGACAATCTTCTACCGACCCTCTCCAACGATGACTGATGGCAATATGGTCTATTTGAGTCCATCGTTGGTTTGGTGTAGGGGGTCGCCATGTTAGACGATGTCTCTCCTTATGCTTAAAATTTGTGTTTGCTAAAAATAAACGATTGTCTGAGCACAGTTGCAGCAGACGGTCACCATTATCTGTTCGCTGTGCCGGAATACTAAAATATCCACCTAAATGCCTTTCTGTTTGGTTTAAGCTACCTATCTGAGCATTAAAGTCACCCCCTACGAGTACTATGTCTGAGCGTTTAGCTTTCTGAAGAAGTTCAGAAAGCTTTCTGTAAAATTCATCTTTCACTTCATCTGAGCTGCAGTCAGTGGGAGCGTAGGCAGAAACGACAAAAAGGCAACGACGTGTGTCCCTATCCTTCCGAGTTCTTACGGAGCCGTTTAGCCGAACAGCACATAGACGACTGTTGACGGGGATCCACTCTAGCAGTGCTTGTTCCGCCCTCATGCTTAGTGCTATGCCTACACCTGCCAGTCCACGAGAACTGGCCATCGGGTCACCAGATACACGAAGGGTGTATCTCGTTGGCTCTCCGTTTTGCCGAGGTGAGGTCAAGTGAATGACCACACTGGAATCCTGTATGCGTGTTTCGGAGACACAGCATACATCAATGGAAAGAGACTCTAGGGTTTTAGCCAAGGAAGCCTGCTGACCGATTTGACATAGGGTGCGTACGTTGAAGGCTCCAATGTGTAGTTTGGAGCGAGGTTTCAGTAGACCTGGGACAGTGTTTTGAGCGCTAGAATCGTTGGCTATGGTGACACTTGAGGAGGAAGCCGAAAAAGGAAGTTTAGAGTTGAAAGTCGATGTAGGAGGAATAATAGGAATTGAAGAGGAAGGTTGATTATGAATACAGTGGTCTTGAGTGCTGTTAGAGGTATGAGGGCGGTTATCACTTCCCGGTTGCCCACACCGAGGAAGGGTTCTTCTGGAGGTACCTGCATGACCATAATGGAGTACAGCACAATCACATCCTGTAGCTGCAATACATGTATAGCTCATATGACGCATACCACCATGGAAGTAGCAATAATGTCTGAAAATACTTTCTGCCTGATATTGATACATTCCCGGTTTAACTGAACGCATTAAGTGACGATGTGCAGCACTACTTATACGATTTGTGTAACGGATGACATCCAACTCCATGTCAGTTTTGATGAGGCGACATGATACAATTTCATGATGAAGAATATTTTTGTTCACTTGGAATCTTTCAATCCCATAAAATTTAGCTTCTGGAGTAGGACGATGACTGTCTGTGTTTACACCACATTAGGTTAGCAAAAGCGTAGCACTCCATAAGCTCAAATATGAAGCAATCTCATCCGTATAGTGAGTTTCATCTACATTGTATTTTTTTGAACACTGTTCAAGCGAAGCTAATTCACCGTCGTATATGGTAGCTTCTTCTGGTATTTTTGGGATAAAAAGTGTAGAACGTCCAGTAGCCACTTCAATTGTCCTATAACAATCTGGTTCGAGAACACCGAAAGTCCAATGGAAGAATGATTCCTGACGAAATACATTGGCAGCATCCGAATCTCCCAGAAAGGTATCAGTGCCACCCTGCAGCACAACAAACACACCAGAAAGGTTGTGTGTGAGAGATTTGCTAGTATCAAGCGAAGATATTTTGTCCCGAATACGATTGCAAAGACGCTGACGATTGGCTACATGCAACTGCATCGGAACGGCAAGACATTTACCCAACTGAAAAATAGGAGCTGTTCGACTTGCAGCACCTGAAACCATCATGCAACAAATCACAAGAGTAAAACCGTGACGGTTTGTCGTCAACAATGAATCAAATATACCACAATGTTCTATTTCACTCATACTACTAACTAAAATAAAGTAGCACGAGTTATGCCAACAAATTTGTTCAGAAGACTGAGATCAAGACTGCCTATGTTGTTACCAATGACTTGATCCATATCAGTTATAATCAACAAACAGCCAGGTAAAAGTATTCAATCAGTCATACGCAAAGTAATGACTAGGACATATGTTCATCGGTCCAAGTTATCATACATTTCATCACAACAAAACGACACAGTATAAGTAGTAATCGTAGAAAAGATTAGGGATAAATTTTATTCGAGGAAATATACATTCGTAGAATGAAGACAAATAATGAATGGATCTGTCCCAATGCTGAAAATTTTAAGCTTTGTCGTCCGAAGCCCGGGTCTCCACACCATATCATCACAACGAGGTGAAATTAACCGTACGAGTACCAAGGATGCTGAAATAATTATAATAACAATCAAAATGAAAAGAACAAACAACGAGAATATAATTCCAGGAGTGGAAAGTTACGTATAAAGGAATGCTGGAATTCAGCATCTAGAGGAAGATGTATTTTTGTCCAGTTTGCCAAATTAGGTTAGCGCGACAATATGAAAATAACAAGAGATTGAAACAACCTAGTAATAACGACAAAAAGGAGACTACACTTGAGGAATTTGGTTTAAAGCCGAGTGGGAAGGTATTTTCGAAAAGATATTGGGATTCAAAATCTGTAATATTGTGACCGATCCTCAACCAAGTTACTCGACGTCTCAACCACTGACAATTATTATTATGCAGATCCTAACACAGGCTAGTTTGAAATAACTGATATGCCTTGGACCAATGGTCAACGAATTCATGAACTGCTAACACATTTTAGCTAGCCTTCTACATGCAGACCACTTCTAAAACAAAACTTCGCAATTAAATAAAAACTGTTCTGTTAAAAGCAGGAAACGAAATACTTGAGTACTTCTTCATTGTTTTTCCTCTTCCTTGTTTTTATAACTGGAAATCCTTGACTCGTACTTGGTAAAGATGATATAGTGCGTGAAAGACTCATTTCATGGTGCTCTGGTTACAGTATATGTAGTAAGACCCAAGAATTTTCTTGTTTTAGACTCTCATATATACTATAATTTATTTATTCGTACACACAAGCATTGGTACAGGGGAGCACCAAGTACATATGCGCCACAAAATAACAATGAGACCAGTGGTAGTTAACACTGATTTGTGTGAGGGCTGTGATACTGCCCAGGTGCCTAAAACGAAGCAGGTGGTTTTCTTAGGAAGCCACATCCGGAGCCTTCGACCTAGAAGTCTGATCTACAAGGCAGTGGTTCAACGTAAGGAGACAGTCCCATAGTAGCCAGTGACCAACAATAGGATCATACGCCATTTGTTTCCTTAGGATCCTGGAGCCCATGTGCAATATTGGTTTGGGATCACAGTTTTCCGACTCCTCTAGGTGGATCCTCCATACCCACCAACCCGGTTAAAGAGCCAAACATTAGCTTTTCGTCCTCTGAATTTCATAAACAACACCCACCCCAAGAAGGCAGCGAGTAGGTCTTCCATAGCAGTAAATATATACGCGTGGCCAAGTGAGAGCATTTCGAGAACGGATTCGTCATACCCTCAGCCGTACCAGGGCCTAGTACAAGCCTTTACGTGGTTTTTGATATGATTTGATAGATATTCATAACAAGCTTCGGATCTATTACAGATGAGAAAAGTACCAATGAATCAACCGCAAGTTGTTTACGTCCGACTATTGAAAATATAAGTCTTTTGATTGTCAGCGGTAAACAATGTTACAAAGCTAGTTACCGCTGGGAAATATATGTAAGATAGTACAGCTTTCGTTGACAAGATCGGATTAAAATGGTTATATATCAAGCTTCAGGAAAGTCTCTAGCGATTGCGATAACAAATCTCAGTACATTCGCCAGAATTTATGCACTAATCCAATATCATAAAACCATCGAGTTGCAATCCCAATTCGGTTTACATTAGTAAGATACTTTTGAGGTTGGTTGCAGATAAATCTGTTACATTATGCTAACACTCCTACTGTGTTAGTTGGATTTCTCAATAGGAATATGGTGAATGAAACCTAATAAATTTTGGTGGAAAACTCACCAACAGAACAAAGTAACATCGATACTATATAACAGAAGATACATTATATTATGATATTATCTTGCTAAGCAAAACGATTTTCATTTTAATATGCAATAAGTTTTATTTTCTTACAGTGAGATTAACAAATTTATTGTATACCATACAAAAAAAGTAGTAAAGCTGAAATTTTTTTACAAAAGATAGTGTTACGCACAATGAAACATTTGACTGACATTCACTGAACAATGCCATCATCAAAACAGTTGAAAATTCCCGAACTAGTTATAGTGAACACAGAGCCGTTTTGAGAACATTACTTGTTTCGATGAAGAATTTTCATATAAATAAAATCAGATAACTATCAATCTGTATGAAATAAAACATCACCGCACAAAACAAAGTCTTCTTATAGATGTATTTGCACGAGATAAATATTCATATGATCTTATTTTGAAAAAGACATGTAGGTTAAAACACGCATCGTACTTGGATGTTGGGTGAAATGACTCAAAATCAGCTGTAATGGGCTACATATAGTTGTTCTCTTTTCACTACACACCTTTTGTTTTCCAATTTAATTCATTGATTTTGTGTTTTGTTTTAAATGGACTTATTAGGCTCAGCTATTTGCGATATTGGGTGTCATACTTTGTTCTATACCTCATTTTGTCAATTTCCTTTCTCTTTGTCTCGATATAAAGCATGCCACTTAAACATCGTGCAAGTCAGTGACCCGATATTTCAACAGAATGGAACCCATTGTTGATCCTATTGTACCTTTTATTATTTTCCTCTCATCTTGGTTTATAATACTTATTCTTTGTCACTTCTAACTCTTCGAAACACTACCGTTTTGTTTCGCGGCGCCATATTGTCTGATGTTTTATAAAACAGAGTACTTTTTATTATAAAGGAATAGTAAATAAATAATAGGATGACTGTTAGTAAAAAATTGCTATATGATATCTGAACAGAGAGTAAAATCTCATCTACGTCTAGAGACAATGTGGTGTTGAAATGAGTTATGCATTAACTTAGAGATTATACTAATAAATACCTTACAGTTTTTTAGAAGCTGGTTGGTTCCACAAAGTTTAAAATAAGCTTTAGATAAACGTCCTAACATTACGGATCGCGAGTACTTAGAGATGATGTTAGTCAATTTTATTTCCTTGATGTTAGCATACAACAATTCCTGCCACTTTTGCGACATCCCAAACCATGGTGAAAATTTACTAATCTATAGCAACCGACGGAGAAAGTGTTTTCTATATTGTGAGTTAATCACCATTAAATCCCCTTTTCCAATTACTCTCTAAGTAACATAACGAACAGAAAGACGACAAATAAACATGTTCAACAGACCATCATTATAGTAGCTGCTAACAGTAGTAAAACTGTTATTAGTTAAGGCAAACGAAATTAATGTCAAAGAAGAAGTTAAATATGACTGGCATGACACAACCACATATGTGATACGATAAGCGAAAATTAGGCTTAACAGTCAGTAATGAGTGAACAACCACTTGTGATATTCAATTATTAATACGTATGAGCATGTCGTTTCATCACATGAAAAAAGCACTAGTCTGGCTAGTGGTCTTATCGTTGATTTATGAGTATTCAAGGGTCTAAGTCAATAATACAGTCTTGTGAGTAGCCATTACTCAACTACATCATATCACTGTGTTTATTTCCCGATTAGCATTCTATTTATTAATATTAACAGTCAAAAATTTCGTTTCATTAGATCATCAAAAACTTCCTCCATAACAGTGACAACGGGAATGGGATATCGGTTTTTAAAATACCAGTTACTACGGATAGGTAGAACTCCCCATTAATTCAGTTACTACAGTCGCAGATAGAAATTATTGAAATGCCTTCACGTATTAGTTCTTGATTACATTCAGTGTTTATCCACAAAGCCACAAACTATGCTTAATCAGTCAGGGTTTTTTAAATTCTCTGATCGTCTAAATCGTGTCTGGTGCAGCTACATTAATCAACAAAGCAAATTAATGGTGAAAATCTAAATATTTACACGACAGAATCAAAAGTCAAAAAGGCATTACACAGATAAAATTTCCTCTACCTTGACATTGATACACTTAATATGAATTGTGAACAATTTGAAGACAAGAATTGTGTTCATATACAACTACATTCTTGACGTTTGATACTTTAACAAAATTAAAGCGTTGGAAATGTCGGTATCATAAAAGTTGAGATAAATTGAAAATAAAAAAGCTAATCCCGGCTGGAATAACTTAAGTTATACTTCATGTCAACAATATATACCCCTTCTGAGTATACGAGAGACAAATATCTGATATTGTGAGAATTTTATTTCGTCCTGGATATCTACAACCAGGTAAACGGTCTCACTGACCAAGAGAACTTTCTTAAGTCTTTTAAAAATCATTGAATTTTAAAGTCTCATGTTTGCACTGTGAAACGTTGTAATGTAAATAATTAAGATTTATGAAGAATATACCATCAAATCTAAAATCTACGTAGAAATTCAATTAATCAATTAAACAATACAGTTTTACAAAGAATCAAAAATGAAAACACTTTTCTTACAATTGTCGTGAACTATACAAACTAGTTTACTGCCTTTTGGATTATCTGTAGAACTTTCTGAGCGTGAGAAACGGCAGAATCAAACAAAACTTCCCATGAGTTGACTACATCACTTTCATTTGCACTCGTTACAAACAAACTGTCCCAAAGACCCGTTAAAAATGCACTGACCACAGAAAGATCGACGACAGCACCCTGAGAAACAGTTATATGTACTGGACCAGCATCCGTATCCCAAATATCTAACTCTCGTTTCGTTGGTTGGGCAATAATAGGGACTGTCTTTGACTTTCTATCAGCAACCGGGCGAGGAACGAAGCAGAAAGACAGTGAAACAGGCCATTCATCCATTTTTAGGGATTTTGTCTCATTTCGTGGTCCTGGTTTATATAATTCTAAATAGGATCCCGCAGCTTGTTCATCCGTAACCGCATATAACTTTGTCCACTTTGTTGTACAAAGACTAACAAGTGCAGCGGGGACACAAGCATCTAGTAAGCACCCATCGTCATGAAGGATGAACACATCGAGCTTCAAAGTGTAGGAAGCTACCGGTGTAAGTGTGTCTGGGTCATTTATTGAGAATATGTTTAGCTGGTTTTCAATAGATGGGAATGCAAAATTATTCAGGAGTCTTTGGATTGTAGAAGACAGCCACTGAGCATACTTAGGTTGTGGAGCATTTAAACGTGAACCTCTATGACAGAGACCAGCAAACTCGACATTGCAGGTTATGTTGCCTGAGTTTCCGCTTTCTGGAATTACCTTGACCTATAATTGTTGAGATCAAAAACCCACAATGTACCTTTACACCCGCAATCACCTGAGTTTTTCCGACTTTGACAAGAGCTGAACCATGACAGGAGGTTAAGACACCAGCAGCGACGTTTATATCAGCAAACTCGAGACAATCCCTGTCTTCTATTCTAATCTTCTGCTCAAATAGTTGTTCAAAAACGGCATATGGTTTTAGAAGGTTAAGATCCCCCATTCCACGATATTGACTTCGGAGTTTACCTGTAACGGTAAGGTACATTTTGAAAGTGACTATACTCTGTTGCGTATCAAATAATTAAAAGGGAACTTAATTGATTACAGAACACAAAAAGTTGAGTTTTTATCAGCACTACCATTAAAGCCCTTAAGATCGTACTAGCTAGCACTAGGCTAATATATGTATTTTAAAACTCCATATATATATTTAAAATACATATATTAGCCTAGTGCTAGCTAGTACGTTCTCTTTTCCTCCATTCTTCTCTTTTATATGCACCTTACATTCTTCTTCTCATTCCATCCCCATTGTCATTGTGTGGCGTATATATATATATATATATATCTGGTGCCCCCTTGTACTAATATTTGTGTTCAAATAAAGTCATAATAATAAATAAATAGATTTATAAAATAAAGATATTTTAAATTTAGAAGCTTGGGACCTAGATGAAGTCAAGTAGTGGACTAACCCGTGAAATTGATACATTCAGTCTCCAACCACTAGTAACGATAAACACGCCGACTCCAGCAAGGCAGTCCATCCACGTCAACATGGTCTAATCCAATTGTCAATGACTTCATGAACAGATGCATCGTTTTTGTTTGGCAACCTCTAGCTATCTTGCAGGCTACTCCGACACAACATATCGCCCGTCGACGTGGGCGGTAGGTGGGTATGGGTATCACATGTCCCAACCATCTCAATTGACGAATATTTACCAACTCACCAATCGATTTGTCATCTTTACCCAACACACTCTTCCAAACGAAAGCACTGCTAACAAGGTGATCCCGAATTACACGAGCAGTGCTTTGAAGGCACCCACGAACGCATACAGGTAACCTGCGAATAACCTGCATACGCAATGCCCGTGTTTCGCACTCATGAATTAGGACAGTACAAACTACTGCACATTCAACTCGCCCTTTGGTTGGCAGGAGGATATCTAACCCCCGCCACAAGTAACCTTATAACTGTCTACACTTGTAGAGGAACATAGGTCGCCCAACAGCGTTCTCCACCCAACTCTGTCTTGAGCAATCATTTCCAAGTGGTTCCAGTTGCTATTCATTCTTTTGTTGTCTGCTTCCGGTTTTCAGTGCAGTGCCTTTTTTGGTCTTCTGATTTTTCTTTTCCCTTCAGGATCCCAAACTAACGCTTGCCTCGTGATGCAGTTTGATAATTTCCTCAATAAATATCCTGTCCACATCCAGCGTCTTTTCGTAATTCCATCAGATGGAATTTGGTGTTTATCGTGTTGTGCTAATGAGGTGTGGCAACTTCGACCAACGAGTATATATGCCTGATCTTACTTTGCAGCTGACTGAGCTGGAAGCTGGTTTGTTCTCTTCCACAGTAGGTTGGACAGGTGGTCACTAGAAGTATATCCTAATAAGAGTGTGGTGATGCAATTAAATAACTATGGTGAATTGTACCACTGTACAATATGTGGATTCGTGCTACCCAAAGTAAACTATAGAATTAGGAGTCATATTAAGCAGTGGTCTCAAAACCACTAGTCACTGTAAGGCTGCTGCTGCAAAAGGCTATAGGGTATTATGGTCTATTCGTAGGTCTTTTCAGTATTTAAATGACGAAATGTTTAAATTATTATACCCGATTTACGTGCGACCACATTTAAAATATGGGATTCAAGCAGCGAGTCCTTGTTTCAAGTATGAAGCAGCGATGCTGGAAAGAGTCCAACGACAAGGTACCAAGATGGTACAAGGTCTATCTGACCTATCTTGTGAAGACAGACTGAGACACCTTAACTTATTTCCGTTATCTTACCGTAGAATACGGAGTGATCTAATATTGGCTTATCGTATACCGAACGATCACCTCGGTATTAACATGTCTTATCTTTTACTTCCAATCTAGGACTGGTCATTTGAGATGACATTCGAAGAAAGCTCAAAAATTAAATCGTTTACGTCTAGAGTTTCGTTTCTCGCACCGAGTAGTAAATTACTAGAATTCTCTACCGGAACACGTAATATCAGCACCTTCTGTTGACATATTCAAAACGAGATTGGACCTCCACAGTATTACAAACTGCAACGATTAATATAGGTCGATAGACCTGTCCTTATCACTGAAGAGAGGTTATTGCTGATAGTATTTGGTCAACGAACATTGAGTATCCTGCATATAGAATTGCTTATGAATACATGTACGTTTCTGATGATGGATGTAGTAGTTCTCCAATTCTCAGCTCCGTACAATAGAACCGTATTGACGTTGGTACGAAGATTCTAACTGATGTAATTTGACAGCTGTTTTTGAGTTTTATATGCTCTTCAAATGTAGGAATTTAACCCCTTGTTTTTTTTTCAATACTTCAAGTGTGACTGAATCAGTGTTCCCCGTGTTTTGTTTCAGGATCTTGCTTTTTCCCTAGTGTGTTTTGAGCCCTAATGCTACAGACAGGTGTTTTTGCTACACTGACTGTCCTCACCTGCATTTGTTGGTGTACGGGGATAGAAAAGCTATAGCTGATGACCTATATATCATCTGCATAGTCCAAGTCGCCTAGTTGCATGCACTTTTTCCTCAAAACTCATCCAAGTCTGGTTGCTTGTGTAATAGAAACTTACTTCATCTTGATATAACTAACTCTTTTGAAAGGTATATATTTTAATATTTGTAATATTTAATGGTACTTACATGTAACACGTGTAATCAGCAGTCACTGGAAGACGGGAAGACCTAAAGCCACAACACACACAATGTTAACTGAACACTCTACACCACAGAGAGAACGAGGAATGGAGGCCAATAGACGTTTATTTTAAAATTAAAATCCGCGGGTTTTTGTACAGAAAGAGAGCTAGTTTACCAAACGGTCTTATGAGTCATCCTGTAAGTTCAGTGCGTGTAGGGCTTGCTCTTCTTCTTCTAAAGCGTTTATTCTTGCTTGCCCTGCAATAGAAGGAAAACAAAATCTATTAGCAACATCATACATGATGATTTTAATCCCGTTACATACAGTCACGACATCGGGAAGCGCGCAATCTGGAACCTTTAGATTAGCCTAGTAAAACTGCACCAAAAAGTATTGATTGAAATCAAGTATCCAAGAGTGATGACAGTAAGTTCATCACTGCTTTGCAAAATTAGTGGAATGTTTATACCTTTGGGGTCTATTTCTTCATATTTCGAGCTAATTCTTGTAGTACTATGTATCATTCGTAATTATGGTGACGTATATTCAATGATTTTTATAAGACAAAATAAAAACCGTATTTTCTCTCTAGTTTGTCACACTTTATATGTAACCGCATTTTTATTCAATATCTGTCGTTTTTCTGTGCTACTTGTTGATAACGATGATAATTGATTCGATGACTAATATACGATTTTACTACCGCGTGGTTTGAAAATAAAAACCGCTATCTACACCGTCTGTTCTTCTGCTTTTTTGACCACGGTTTTTGATTGAAGACTATAATGGTGTTATAACATCCCTTTAGCCCTTCCAACACCACGTTGGAATTCTGGCACGGATTATTATATTATAATACTATTGGACGCAATCTTCCTCGATACGCCGTTGGTGCAATTACTTGCAGAGGAACCTTCGTTAATCGAGTGAACTTATTTGTGGTTTTTATTCTCGCGACGCAGCTTTGAAGTAACATTCAGTTCATAATAATTGTTATTTGTTTGTTTAATATACCCTTCGTCTTTCTAACTATATTTGTTACCTTGGTTTTATTAACAGACAGACACTTATGGTCTTTATTATTAATTTACGTGGTATATTATTATCAAACTAGTGTATCGACATACCGTTTATAAGCTCATTTTGTTGGGAATCACCACATAATATATGCTTTTTGGAATGTGAAAGCCATAAAATCGTGTCGGAAACAATACTGATGAGCATAACACTTGGATTATTCTCCATTAATAACCAAAAAACCTACATAATGCTCGAGCATCCCTTTTAGGTATTCAGCCAAACGTTTCACCTCAATAGGTCCCACTAATGAGTTTCATAACTTGCTTATTAGAACGGCAAAACCATCCGTGCGGATTTATTTAAGACCCTTAGATGTTCTGTCCTTAATGGATTTCCTCCTATATGTAACCAATTTCTCAAACATACTAATAATCATTAGGGTGGATAGAACAATTGGCAGTGTGAAACATCCTAATAATATAATAAAAAATCTACCCATACTGCACAACATGTAAGACCACTGAGATGGATTCGCATTTTAGCCTAAGTACCACTTTAGTTGTTTTTTGAACATGTAGTGGCAAATAAATCCACAAAATAAACAGTTCAGTAAGTCATCAACATTGACACTGCAGATACCACAGGTATTTCTAGTTTGACAACACTTCAATCAATAACACCTTCTATGATTGAATCGTGCCCGCCCAGAGAAATCAAAAGTCAGAAGCGAGGAGCTCCGAAGATATATTTGATAGGCTATCAATATATCGAGAAACGAATGATCTTAACTGGCTAGTGCTTGCAGGAGAAGTTGAGCACGGCGTTCTCACTCGTGATCTGGTGTGGATGCATGGCCGAGCGCCTTCAGCTAGGTGAGTTCATTAAAACTAATGTGGTCAGCATCCAGTTTCCAATGTCGATCGGCTATGACTCCTTGGTTGGGTCCTAGAGATGATGCGACTCAATGGTTTGAGATATTATCAGACATCGCTTGTAATAGGAGTCAGTGGCGATTCTGTTGTTACGGTTTTAAATTATTTGTAAAAGTGAGAGGACCTCTTTTGACTAAAAGAAGTCTTTCTTGAGCACACTTTTAGCTTAAATGTATCTGGTGTTATATGATATTCTTGTTTACTCATTTGTTTTAATTGTATTTTCTGACAGAACTTCCCTTTCCCCTCTTATATATCCCTTGAATTATGCAGGACATACTTATTTCGGTGCACAATGGTACCGGTAATTACCTGTAAAAATAAAATAAAAACACACTAGATACTTAATACGAACCATAGATTGAAAATATAGCTTGGTACAGACATACGGAAACTAAGTCTATTGATCTCCAAACAACATAGGGATCAAGAGAACGGTTTCACGGCAGACCCACGCCTCAATAATGTCAGTAAACGACTATCTTAAGTGCAGAAGCGGGATTCATGCCCGGTAAGTGAGGTTTTACTGAAACTTCGAAAGAGCAACTGGTTTTTTGAAAAAGTAAAGACATCACATCACTCACCAATAATATGACGGTAGGGTAAGGCTTCAGTTTTGAGATTAAATTGTATAACGTGACCAATTATAGTAAACCCAGTAATAGGCAAGATGAAATCAGGCAACAATTCCTTGATAACTTGTTCGAATGTGAAATTTTCATAACCGATCGACATATTCACGAGACATGGTGAGGTGACAATATTTTCCAACATATTTATCTCTTCTTCTACAACACTAACTTTTTTAAATGCTTCATCGTTTAATGAATCTTCAGCTTTCAAATCGTTTAGGCATTCGGGCAATTTAGGTACAGATAAATCGACTGGTTGAAGATTTGCGTAATCTTTAGGTAAATCAACGTTCCACTGATTCAAATCAGTTATAAACTGTAAGATTTTATCAGGTTCAGGCATTTGAACCAGCATCAATTTACGCAACGATCCATTTGAATCTCGGCTGAAAGTGATTTTTTGTAAAGATAAAAAATGAACTATTAAGAATGAATAAACTATTTCAGGAGAAATAAATCATGATAACATAACACTTAATGAGTAGGAGGCTTTATGTGGTGCCCAAAAACACTTATCACAAAGATTGAAAAACTTTAAAGAGTATATAGAGCGTAGTCAGAATATCTTCTTAGAAGTAATTATTCTAAGTTGACATTTTCCTTAGCAAAACACTAAGGGAAATCGAGAGATCCCGAAGAAGCGGAATCTGGGCGGGATATATTAGATTAGAACAGAAAACTTATCAAATTGTAGTAATAGATAACCATGAAATCAACATATGTTACGGAAACCTGTTTTAAGCTACTGAATGTCTCTGACCATTTATACTTCTCAGTCGATACCAAACCGCATACCATCAGATTAGCAGATATTTTTTTAGGATGATACTACCTGATAGAGTAGTCTACCTAAAGCTAAATGCAACAGCTACAAACTCACCGTGAAACTGATAGTAAATTGAAATATTTTTGGTAACATGGGTTCAATCCTTTTTACCAATATTTCACCTAGATTTAAAACAATACATTTAATCTGGAAATCGGTAATCTGATGACTGTTTCACTGGCGAGGCGACGTGTATGGATACTTTACTGTTAACAGGTATCGTTACCAAGGTTTGACTTGATAATTTCGAATAAATTGAGAATTGTGTAGATTGGTACAAATACATTACTTACTGTTAACAGTTGCACAACTGAAAGAAAAGCACTGTTAAACTGAATTTGAAGGTCGATGTGCTACAAAAATAGAATGAATCTGTACGTTCAGAGCAAATAGACGAAATAAAACTTAGATGTAAACAGGATTGATATAATTCTCTAAAAAATCTGACTGAAAATACTTAACATTTTCTGTATAAAATAATTATTTACTACACTTACAGATAAGTTATGCCAATTTAAATTAAAAATAGTTACATCTCTTAAAGTAACTCAAAACCGCTTTATCCTCCAATCTGACCAAGTAGACTCTGTAAACTGTTGAGTTGAATAAACTCTACACTTATCATCGTGTATTGAAGAAACAGTTTAGAATTCACTTTTAAGATGTAAACACCGGTTAATTAATTACTGACTAGAACTGACTTATCAGAAGTATGGCTGTCGTCGTTTCTGGTAGCAGAAGAAATTTTTAATCCAAAACATGTTCTAGATGTAAACAAATTATGTGTTAACCAACACACTTGTATCAGTGCAGATGAGTGAACGAAAATTCAACAGGCAAAGCAATAAGTTACAAAAAGGTCAACGAGGTTTTGAAGGAACTTAGCTCCTAATTTGTCTCAACCGCAGTCAGTAGAAATGTGCATACAAATTACGACACTTCTGAGTTGTCATAATACTGTAGTGAACGAGAACACAAGTGAGACAATCGAATGTATTTGAATACAAAATTACAGAACATCTTAGTAAAATCGGAGAATCATACAACAAATACTTCAGACAATCGTCTCAGACTTGATTGTTTTTTCGTCTCCACAACAACCATTCTTTGTCCCCGTTCTCTTTTCTTTGATTTTCTTAACCTTCTGCATCCAGGCATTTCACTTTCGATTGATGATACGTACTACTTATATCTCTCGACATCAGTAGCACACACCACAATACTATTCAGCCGAATAGTGTTGGGAACTATCGACAAAGGTTCAGTACAGAAGTCACTTATCTGCCCTTAGACTCAACCACATATCAAATGTTGGATCGCTTAAATTCATCAAACTAACAAGACAATTTTATATGAATAAACTCACAGGTTTTGTACGACTGCTTTAGTCGTACAGCATGTGTTTAGTGCACATCCTGGCTGACGAGATCTGTTATTCTGTTCGAGATAGAGTGAGGATATATACAACTTTGATGTATGGGATGTAAAGTCGTTTTGTAAGACAAATTGAAAACGATTTCAAAATACCTCAGAAATATATTACATTCACGCCACTAAATGATTGGAGTCAGGTTTTTCCTATTACTATAGGTAGAACTACACTAGCTATAATCTTTGAAATTCATATAATTCAAAATATAGAACTACCATACGCCGCTACAATTGTAGCTAACCATTAAAAACATTGCATTGGTTAATGTCAAAATCCACATATACGCCTGAGGAGTTTGGTAATGAGCAACCAAAGAGAGATGAATTTCTAATCAAGCAGATACTTTCTAAGAGTTAAACAATTCAGTATAAATATGAAATGAGTTGTGTTGACGATAACAATCTAAACATTATACTAGGAAACTTACTAAGTTTTAGATATTTTAGGTAGTCGGATAAAAGGACAGAAAAATGGTCTCAACTTCTCTAAAGACGTCTTGACATGTTTATCACATTGAATACCGACGAATATCATTGGGACTTTACGTTTAAAGTAAGATCGATCCAATTTTATGTCGTTTGTCGGCGGAAGTTTACCGCACGGTTTCAAAACTTCTTTTAACTCCGAGTGATTTTCTGTACAAGGAAGTTGTTCATTCGTATGACTTATGTTGGAGGTCATCAGTGATTTCGACAAATACTTAACTGAATACACAGGAAAAAATATGGAAGTGGGTCTGAGGTAAGCAACAAAAGAGATTCTCGTTGCCTTGAAAGTTAAGAAAAAGGTACAATTAGTACATAGTATTCATAATCTGAAAGGGCTTCAGGTAATATCTACTACAAAAGTCTGTTGTTGACCACAGTTAATGTTTATGAAATTCACAACACCCAGTTATTACACACAAACCGTTGTCACAACTAGATGACACTCAACTGACAGAAACCATATTACAATCTAATGTCAAGATAAGTCAGTGAGAATCTAAAATACTGATTTGGACACTTTTAATTAGTAATTTACCCATGACAGTCTAGTTTTATCGACGGTTTAAACGCTCAGCAATATTAATTGCCAGACATGAAGTATTTAGTGTCTAGAACACTCATAACCGTTGAGTTACAAAATAATGAAAGTGGTAGACAGTAAACACACTAACACAATCATGAGTCTCATAGTTCAGGAGGCATTTAATGCCATAAACTAACAGCTGAAACACCAACATCTAAAAACTCTATACCCACAGAATTCTCATAACATGAATGTGCAATTATCTTGGAGAGACCAAAAGGCATCACTGCATTTTAATTACATTTTTGTGACAGATACCATAATAGAAAAGGATCATATAGTTTACGATGTTACAGCTTATGAAATGGTGCAGGGATATGAAAGAAATCCGTATATAATTGACATCGATCGGTCAATAACAACTTACTGGTTGTGGTCCGACAGATGGTGCAACTCATTAGCTTGAGACGGTATTAGATGTGATTGAGAACAGAAGCCAATGGCTGTAATCATCATTCACATTCGTCTTATAATCCAGAACTGCTTTAACTGGGAGGATCCCAGTTCTGACATTCATATTGGTTGAAAGTTCTTTTGAGTTTCATATGTTCAATTCTTGCCTTTATGTCTGCACCAGGTCCCTCTTGTTAATCGATGATGATGCCCAGATAAGTGAACTTTTCCACATCTTCCAGAGTCTCTCCATCAAGTGTGACTGAATCAGTGTTCCCCGTGTTTTGTTTCAGGATCTTGCTTTTTCCCTAGTGTGTTTTGAGCCCTAATGCTACAGACAGGTGTTTTTGCTACACTGACTGTCCTCACCTGCATTTGTCGGTGTATACGGGATAAAAGAGCTCGGTTATCTGCGAAGTCCCAATCGTCCAGTTGCGTTCAACCTGTCCATCGTATTCCATCCTTCCCCTCAGACGCAGCTTTTCATAATACACTCAACTGTCGGAAGAAAGAGGGAGGGGGAATGTAAGGAGCCTTGTATGACTCCGGTCATCACTTGGAACGCATCTGCCAGCATTCCTTCATCCACGACTTTGAAGCGTAATCCCTCCTATGAATTCCGGATGATGTTGACAATCTTCGCAGGTACACCACAGTGTCTAAAGAGGTTCCATAAAGTTCTTCGATCTACGCTGTCAATCGCCTTCTCATAGTCAATGAAGTTGATGGGTAGTGATGAGTTCCATTCAATTGATCGTTCAACGATGATCCGTAGTGTCGCAATTTGATCTGTGCACGACCGATGCTTACGCAATCCGGTGTGTCGATCCTAAAGTTGGGTGCCCACTAAATCTTTCATTCGGTTGGACAACACTCTGTTGAAAACCTCTCGTGGTACCGATTGTAGTGTGATCCCTCTGTAGTTCTCACATTTTCTCAGATCTAAATTCTTTGATATCTTCATTTCTGTCTGTTGGCACTTGTTCCTCTGCAGTGTCGGTTGCTATTTCAAGCCCATATAGCTTGTTCTAGCTTCCGGACAGGCCAATTTATTCATTCTTCTGGAGTCACGTTTTGACCTTGTCAGTTATTCGCTTATCAACCTTGACTGTTTTTATGTAAGCGTATGCGTTTCTCATCTTACTCATCACATGACTGTAACATATTTTTGTTTGACCATAAATATCGATCCACGCTTAACTAAATTGAGTTGATTCACTCGCCTTCTCCATTGTGTGCCGTTCCGTGTTGCTTCGCTTTCCGATCAACGATTGTATGAAATATACGTACTGAAACTTAATTCTCATATATGACTCGCTTAATTCCGTTAATCACTGACGCGATTTAAGTCGCTGATACTACACGAGGATTGACGATACGTTTATTTCAATAGTAATCACTCATACTATTCAAATAAAGTCAGATATCGGGCCACTAAACCTCCCCCCAAATATTCCTGAACAGAACGTGGAGCATGTTCGCAGTTGCCCCTATATTTGACTTCAGTGCTTCGGCTGTTATGTTTTCTCTTCCTGCTGCTTTGCCGCTCTTGATTTGTTTTATGGCCATCCTGATTTCTTTGGTCGTTGATGCAGTGACATTAATAGGAAGGTCTGTATGTGCTGCTTCGATATCTGGTGGATTCAGTGGAGCTGGCCCATTCAAGAGTTCCCTAAAGTGTCCCCCCATGTGTTCTTGGATTTCAGTGATTAGCCTGCCTTTTCCGTCTTTGATTGGTCTCGACGGTTCACTACATTTCCCTCCCACATTCTTCGTTACGTCATATAGTTGCCTCATATCTCCTTCTCTTGTAGTTTTATCCTCTGTTCCTGCTAGGTCTTCCAAGTACTTCTGATTGTCGGTTTTAATGCTCCTCTTCACTTGCTTGTTTGTTTCAGTGTATTCAGCTTGTGACTTGGCCCTCTCTGTTCTTGTTCGACTGTTGTTGGTTGCTGTCTCCTTGTTCTTCCTTTATTGAATACTGTCTAAAGTTTCGATAGATGTCCAATCCTTATGATGATGGTTCTTGCGGCTCAGAACATCCTGACATGTTGAAGTTAGTGCTTGTTTGATCCCTTTCCAGTTATCCTTCATAATAGTTTCATCTTCGTTGGATAGCTATTGCAAGGCTTGGAACACACTGTTCAGAGCTATCTTGAATTCGTCCAGTTTGACTGTATTTCAAAAGAAGTTTGTATTGAACCTTTGAACTACTGTTTCTCCAGTTGTCCAGTGTTTCTTTAGCTTCAGTTTGATTTTGGCCACAACCAGTTGGTGGTGATCTGGAGTTATGTCAGGCTCTCTCCTGCTTCACACGTTTTCCATTGAACTTCTGAATCTCTTAGGGATGCTTTGATGATCCTGATCCATGAGATTCACATCCCACAAGTGCACTTTGTGCTCCTACGGACAGCATCACAGCAAATCCCTGAGTGTGTGGGTCATCTTCCTCTTTGTGACCAGAGTACAGCAGCATCTCTCCTGAATTCAAACTTTTCTGTTCAGCTTGGGTCCAATGGGTTTCACTGATTCCGAGCACTGTCAAGTTGTATCTCCTCATTTCCGTAGGTATCAGATTGGTCTTCCCGGTCTCTCACATTGTCTGGACATCCATCCCATGTACCTATACTAATTGCTGCTCTGGTTGTTAGAAGGGGAGATCGGTCTCGTAACTTTCGGAGAACCTTGGCCTTCACTATGTGGCTCCACAATTCCTCCGAATGAAGATCGTCCAACTCTCAGGGCATAGTTTAAATGGTCCAATTTATTTATTCTGGTTAGGGTTTTTTGGCAAAGCCGTTTCCTACGAGGCGGGGTTGCTGACCCCGTGTCCAACCCTCTTCCTTTACCCGGGCTTGATACCGGCAGTAAACCTAGAGGAGCTGCAGGCGGAGTTACATGGTTTTCACATTTACTTCAAAGAATTGTGGATAATATGGAAATTTTCGATAGGCGACGTAGGACGTTAGTTTACGGACTCAAAATCAAACCTTAAGCTGAAAGCCATAAATGACTGCATATTTATTCACCACAGTATAATAAACCAGTGAGACCTTTTAATAGTCTGTATCGTTTTGTACTCTACTGGACGTCCCGTCGGGTATATAATTTAGTTCAGCCCTCTCACAATCTATGAACGGAGTACCACAAATTGTAGGTACGACCGGGTGTGTTGGAATGTAGCACATCCAGTTAATACGAGTAGTCAAGTTCCGGGATTTATTACTGAAGGAGATGGTCTTAGTAACTTCTCAAGAGTCTTTTGGTGGGAAATTTGACATACCCTGAAAGACTCGAGTCAATATCCAATCCTGATTGATTAATATTTCTATTATCTTGTTTGATGTACATGGGCGTCGATGAATTGCTGCAACGTGGCGCGGAACCCCAACTTCACCTGGAGTCCTTCCGGGGGCTACTGCCGGTCCCAAGCCCGGATAAAGGAGGAGGGTTGGGCATGGGGCTAGCGTTCCCATCCCGTAGAAAACTAACTCGCTAAAAAAACGCTAAGTAAGTAAGTAAGTATGACGCGGAACCCCGTCAAGCGAAAGCTCCATTCCGAACCAACCAAGTGAACAGTTTGAACAGGACTCCTGCATTGTGTAGATATGCAATACTTCCAGGTCTCGAGCGAAATTCCAGACCCGCGTACTAACTTACAGGCGTAACTACAAGAGAATAAACTGTTTTATCTTAGTTTTATACTTGTAAAGTAGTCCATTTGAGACATGTTGCAGACTACATGTAAACCTTAAGAAACTCCTCTCTAGAAGTATCTCAAGGTGAAAAAGATTTAGGAGTGCTGGTAACCTACGGTTTGAAGTATTACGCTAACTGTGACAAGAATGCCTTCCGAACAAACCTTGCACTGGTGACATTGAAGCGCATTTTTTGACCAGTTTGACGGAAAAACTTTCAACATAGTCTTCAACAGTTTTATTCGTCCCTATTTGGAGTATAGAAAAATAGTATTAACCTCTTTACTCCAGCAGGATAAGGACACTCTAGAACGTATTCAACAGCCAGCCACGAAATCATCTCGGGAGCTCAAATTCAAGCCTTATGGACAGTGCCTCCAATCAATTAACCTTTACCCATTAGAGTATAGGCGTCTTAGAGGTGACCTCTTAATGGCTTACGGTATCTTTAACACTTCTGGACATCTCCTTAAACACCTAAATAAGCTTAGTCTCAATACAAACCTACGGGTAACACCCAGAAATGGGAGACAACAGCAGAACGGACTGCAAACACAACTTCTACTCCTTAAGAGTTGTCAAATGCTGGAATTCGCCGCTGGATGAGCTAGTTCAAGCGACTTCCCAGGAGTCGTTTAAGAGGAAACTTGATCTATTCTTAAGGACTAAGGATAGTATTTAAAAAAGGACAGTGGTATTTTTCCTCGCTGAGTAAATTTGTTTGTTTTGATCGTTTATTACGTATCAAGACTACTGTTTTCACTTTAATTGAATTTATTTCAGTTAAAGTATTCGACTAAAGTATCGTTTTTACTGTTTTGTCGTTGGTACTCTTGAGTACCTCTTTTTCAACTGTATCTGTTAGTACTTTTGGTCCTAGCAATCTACAGCTCTTCACTTTTGGTCATTGATAATTTTTTTGTTTCTGAGTATCATCACAGTTTAAAAAAGAACCCCTCCTAAATGACCGGACAGTGTAAAAAAAGCAGTTGCCAACGTCCGGGTTGTCGTTATCCTGTTGAAAGCGGCATGCAGTGCGACGAGTGCAAAGGCTGGTACCACGAAGTTTGCACGAACTTAACGCCTGCTGCTTTCAAACGGTTCAGTAAGAAGGGTTGTGTGTGGCTTTGTCAACAGTGCTGCTCGGATGCAAACAGCTTGTTAACCGAGGCCATCTCACTGGTTGATGCTGCAAAGAAGTGTTTTAGCAAGCATAGTCGGAACGCGTCAAACAGCACTCGATCTGTCGACACGCAAATCAACGTGAAGGAAACTAAGGTTAGTCCGGTGATAGATGACTCACGCCCGTCAAAGAAGGAAAAGCAGTCTCCAAAAGGGCCTGCCTTAAACAAAAGCTCAAGAAAAGTAGGGTCTTCTGTTCCCCGTCTTCCAGATGGGATCCAACAGGAAACACCTAGAAGCCGCAATCGCAAGGCTCGATCGGTTTCAAACGGTAAACATAACACGACCTCTCAGGTCGTCGACAACCCCCCAAAACCCAACACTAGGTTTGACGCAACTGTTATTGCTTCTACCAGCACCGTTGACGAATGGGTAAAGGTTGTAAGGAAGAAAAGTAGGGATATAAAAGAGAAACCTGCCCCCGTAAGAGTGGTTGAAAAATCGAAAGCTGATCATAGCGACAGATCAGCTATTTTTCATAGAATCAAGGAGAGCGATAGCTCTGAACCTAAAGCTCGTTTTGAGCATGACATTGTACTGATTAGGCAGCTGCTTAATCAACTCATGCCTCAAAATATGACTGGGGTCACCTTGCTAAAGGTGTACAGACTAGGGAGTCTAACGGACTCGAAACCAAATCATTCCAGACTGCTTAAAGTAGTATTCGGCTCTTCGAACGAACGTGACCTAATTTTACAAAATGGACACAAATTAAAGGGTTCAGGAGTCTTTATCCGAAAGGACCTACCGTTGGCAGACCGTGTTAAAAGACGGGAAGCCGAGAAAGAACTACAACATAGGTTAGACGCTGGCGAAAAGGACCTGAAAATTGTAAATTTTCGGGTTGTAAGACTTCGACAGAGAATGATGCCGAAGCCACTCTGGGTGAAGCACGAAGGCACTTAAACAGGCTTCGGATCTGTTACACCAATGCACGAAGCTTACTTAATAAGCGATCGGAACTAGGTGTACAGATTGACTCTACAAAGCCAGATATAATCGCAGTAACAGAAACCTGGCTGACACAGGCTATAGATAGTATAGAACTTGATTTCGAGGGCTTTACGTTAGTAAGGGCCGACAGAACACAAAAACGCAAAGGAGGGGGAGTAGCTCTATTCATTAGGAATGCTATCCCATTTACCATTATCGATAGTGTATCCCATGAGAGTGGGACGTGTGAATTAGTTAGTCTTCGCTTAAAATGCAAGGGACAAGAGCTGCTGATTGGTTTGGTCTATCGCAGTCCAAGCTGTGAGGCAAATGAGATCCTGTTAAGCAGTCTCAATACTTGGTCCCAAAGTGGTCGATGTCTAATCCTAGGGGACTTTAATGCACCTATGGTAGACTGGGAAAATCTGCGAACTAAATCGTCGGAGAATTCTTTCGAGCAGGAACTAGTTGATGCGGTTATCACATGTGCTCTAGTGCAACATGTGAAAGAAGCGACAAGGTACGATCCGGACACTGAATCATCCTTATTAGATCTTATACTGACTCACTATGAGGATGATGTTGTGAACCTCCATCATATGCCACCCTTAGGTAAAAGTGACCACGCAGTTTTAACTTTCGACTTCCATATAACTGCCAGTCATGAGGACGCGTCAGTCCAGTCCAGACCCAACGTCTGGAAAGCAAACATACCAGACATCATGCACTCAGCATCGTTAATAGATTGGACAATAGACCCAGAGTCCTCCATTGAAACGGCCTGGGACGCATTTCGAAATTCATACTTAAAAGTTACCACACCTCACATCCCTTGGACTATACCAAAGGGGCCGAAAAACTCACCACCATGGTTCAGTAGGGAGGTCCGTATCCTTCTCCGTAAGAAAAGGAAAATGTGGGATAGATTTAGGTTACTGGGGACTGATGAGTCAAAATCTCAGTATCGAAAGGCTCGGAACACTTGTGCCTCGACCCTCCGTAAGTCTAGAAAATTGTACGAAGAAAAACTTGTTAAGGAATCCATAGAATGTCCTAAACGCTTGTATTCCTATATAAACCAAAGGACAAGGAGAAAAGGAAATATTCCTGCTCTATGGGGAGACAGTACTGCTTCATCATTAGTGGAGGACGACTTTGGTAAGGCTCAAGCGTTCTCGAACTACTTTAGCAACGTGTATACCATAGAAGCGCCCTTCTCGTCAGCGTATACAGATCCCCCCATACATACACTGGATAGCGTGACCATTAAAGAACTCGATGTCTTTGGTCTGCTAAATAAGCTTGACATAGGTAAATCCACGGGGCCCGATGAATTACATCCTAGGCTACTGAAGGAATTATCTAACTTCGTTGCAAGCCCTTTAAGTACATGCTTTAACCTATCCGTTACGCAGGGTCGCTTACCGAAAGATTGGAAAAACGCCATAGTAAGTCCTGTCTTCAAAACAGGCACGAAACACAAACCTGAGAACTACCGCCCCGTTAGCCTAACTAGTGTGGTTGTTAAAATCTTAGAAAAGATTATTCGGAAGGAGCTGTTTAAGTATCTCGATAAAAACCGGATCCTCTCGGAGAAGCAGCACGGCTTCAGAATAGGTTATTCTTGTCTCACTAACTTATTAGTGGCTCGTGAAAGCTGGTGCGCTCTTAAGGACCAAAAGCTACCTGTAGACGTCGCCTTCATTGATTTCAGTAAAGCTTTTGATAAAGTTCCGCACAACCGGCTGTTATATAAGTTAAGAAAAGTCGGGATTGGAGGCAATTTATTGATGTGGATAAAAGACTTCTTAGTTGGGCGTCAACAAAGAGTAAGGGTGAACTCAAAGTTATCTAGCTGGGAAACTGTGCTTAGTGGAGTGCCCCAGGGTACAGTTTTGGGGCCAGTGCTATTCCTCTTGTATGTAAATGACCTTCCTTGTCTCCTATCATCATCGGTCTTGCTATATGCTGACGATGTCAAGATATGGAAAACGATACGATGTAAGAGTGATAGCTTAGAACTTCAAAATGACCTGAAGAAGTTATCTGAATGGTCTCAAACATGGCAGTTGCCGATAAATACTTCCAAGTGTGTTGTGATGCATATCGGTCATCAAGGCACAGATACATACACGATGAATAACACTGAGCTACCTGTCGTCCAGACATATAATGACTTAGGAGTTATCGTTAGTCAAGACTTAAAGACTACTGCACACTGCCGTGCAATAGCCGCCAAAAGTTTTAGAACGTTATGGTCAATACGTAGGGCTTTTAGTCATGTCGACGCTAAGACGTTTTTGACTTTGTATACAGTGTTCGTTCGTCCTAAACTTGAGTACTGCATACAAGCGGCTAGCCCCTGCTTAAAAAAGACAGTGAGCTTCTGGAAAAGGTTCAGAGAACGGCGACTAAGCTGGTTCCCGGAATAGCGAAGCTTCCGTATGAATCTCGACTGGCCAAGCTGAACCTTTTCCCGTTGTCATATCGCAGAACTAGAGGCGACTTGATTACAGTCTACAAATTGCTTAGTGATAAATTTGCACCTAACATGCCCTCATTTTTCTTGTCTTCCAAAACAGAGAATTTACGAGGACACTCCAAAAAAGTTCACAAGCCGAGAACAAATTACTTGTCAGCTGACTATCGACTTTCCCATCGAATCATCAACGAGTGGAATTCACTACCTCAGCACGTGGTTGAGGCTCCATCCGTCGACTCTTTCAAAAGAAAGTTGGATCAACTGAGAGACCACCATTGCCAGGACTAACATAGGCCATCGAGCCTCCTGTCCTTCCCAAACTGAAACTGAAACTGAAACACTATGATTTACTAATTTCTTTTCCTCTTTTATTGTTAACATACCTAGGTTCCTGCCTGGAGGATTTGGTGATCCCCTGCTACTAGACACGGAAGCCTGTTAAGCGAAAGCTTCTTCTATTCCGTTCACAACCATTTGAACCATTTGAACCTTGTTCGAGAGGGAGTTCAATATATACAAGGTCGGCATCGGGAATTGGTCGTCCAGATGATTGGTCAGTCACAGTCATGCCCAAGCTGCAGGTCTAGCAAGTACAGTAACCCACAGTTAAAATTAATGGTTAACGTATGTGGTCACTCACTGTAAGTGTATACAATATTCATGATGTTCACTCAAGGTGTGAAAACTGCGTCGAAGTGCTTTTTGTTCGAGGTTCAGGTTTATGTGCCCAATGCAAAACTCCTATACGCAAAACCAATTTTCGTTATCAGCTGTTTGAGGACCCTTTGGTACAAAAAGAAATAGATATTCGCAAAAAGCTACTGGGCGAGTATGTTGACATTTCTAAATGGAATTTATGACAGTTTTTAATAAACGTGAGGATGATTTTGACTGCTTAGAAGAGTACAATCTCTACCTAGAAAAATAGAAAGCCTGAGTATGACTCCTGACCTTTTGCTTATCTTATAGTTTACAATCTTACAAACGATATAAATGTCGAAGAAACAAAACGTTATATTGAGAATTACAAAAAGGAAAATAAAGAGATAATCAAGAAAAATCGAACTAAACCTGTAAGTTATTTCCGTGATCACATTTGTCCTCGAATGTCAGTAACACTGGTCTTATTTGTGTATGCAATTACTTGTATTTCTGATCATATGTTCTCTAAAATGTCCAGGAAATAACGGCAAATTGGGTGTTATTAATGTGTAAGTGGTAGTAATTCTTAAACATTGTCTGTCACCTTGAGTGACCGCTTAGTGGTTTAAATATACTGACTCAACCTATCGATTCATTGAAATAAACCGAATTATTTGTTGCTTTAAACAACGTGATAGGTTGTAAGTCCCCACAACATACTAGTTGAAACCTTGTGCATGAGTACATCTGGTTGCGAAGTCTTAGGCTTATTCTCATCCATCGTACTACCTTCGTTTGTACCATTACATCTTACACCATTCATGTCTGGTGTAGAAGAAAGTACTGTGAATCAGACTGCCATATACGGTAACATGAAGGTTTATTTTCACCCAGCTTACCCTAATTCAGTAAACGTACGGTCACCACTTCAGATGTCACGCAAAACTAACGTGGTTTGATTGTTTATCACAAATTATTTTAGTTGCCTTCGTAATGGGTATCTTGGGAATTCCCGGTAAATTAAAATGGCTAGGTGAAGTGTAATCCATCGACTAATAAACTAACCAACAAATAATGTTCTTATTTTCAAACTTATTGATATCCCAAGTTGCGCGAGTTATATGGGGTTGTAAATAAATAATCAAAGCGTTGTTTTATGCCACACTTAACACGTAGTTCGAGTATACAATATACTGCCTTATCTTTCGTGCCTTAAATCTTGCTCTGAATACCACCTGTCAGCTGTCACAATTAAAAATAAAAATACATCTTAACATTTAGCTGATGTAATAGCATCTTTTCTCATTGGCTGAGTTTGGCGGTTATAAATTTGCTTGACACAAACGTTGATTTAAAATGTTCCTAAATACCTTATGTGACTGCAATAACTTTTGAAGTTGATTTTTTTCTAAAGACAATTTTCCTTCAGAGCTGATTCATCAAGTTATGTAGTCTAAACATAGTGAGTGAAATGACCGAAGACATTGACCATTTCACTTCTATCTACAGTACGCTGTGACTGGCTGGCTACCAACCGTAGTGTTACTAGTATTTTCTCACAGTTGTTTTCAAAAAATTGCTCAAGTATGATGGAAGAACTGAGTAATGCTGGATTTAGGGATACGGTACCAGATCGTTCGTATGCTATTAGCCTTCATTAACTACGGTTAAAAATTATTTTACGCGTGTTTAACTACTTCCTACCCTGAAATGCATCACTAGTTGGTACAAGAGGAGGTTTGAAAAAATCTAATGCAATAAAAATTGCATCAATCCACAAATTAATCGACTATTTTTCTGAGCCATATCGACAGACCCATAATTTCTGGTTGGGACTAGCGCAATAGTCTGAGTTTGTAGTTAGTGTTGGGTGACATGGTACAAACTACCATGATTTACCCATATACCGAGCACATATTTATGAACTCAGCTTTGTACCACACATTAGTTGAGGTCTAGCCTTGCTATGCAGTTGCTCAAATTAAGTGGGGCCAAGTCCCTTGCATTGGTGCAGCTGTATTTATTCTGTATCTTCTAGATGTCAAATAAACTATCTCCCTAGTCTGAATGTTTGCTTTTGAACGATATTTCTCATGTTTAGATATACATCTCAGTTGAGTTTATTTCTTTGTGTTGGTTATACCCAGCTACCACCTACCTTAAGTCTTAATGCTGGCTGAAATATGAACAGATTGCAAGGAATCTGAATAATTGAGTCAAGATGTGGGGTCATTCCTTGAAGTTATTGACTGTTTGAATAAGTCGTGCTGTTAGATGAAATCTACCTGATTACGGTCTGTTCTATGGTCGGAATCAGTGGCTAGCAAATCTTGAGCGTCATTTTTTCTTCCTAAATAGCTTCATCCCAGGCCATATCAATATTTACTATTTTTAACTATCATACTACCACCATCTGGATTCCGTCAATAATCACCTTCCCTATCTGATCTTATTGTGCTTATCTAATATAGTAACCTCGATTGACGCATTTGTTTTAGGGTATGCTTCCATTTACTTTTCATCTTGTCTCTCTTCTCACTTTGCTTATGTGGGGCTTAGCAATTTGGGCCGGGATGCATTTGTGCTAGATCCTACTTTTCACAGCTAACTGATTTCCTGGCTATTCCCTAGTATGTCTTGTTTTTGAACAATTTTGTATAGCTCTAGGTAATTTCTTATTCTGATTGAGATCATGAACCGATTGATGTCAGACCACCACAATTGAAAACCTGGAAGCACTGGACGGCCGTTTCGTCCTATTGTGGGACTCCTCAGCAGTGCTCATCCACGATCCCGCGAGCGCGATTCGAACCCAGGGCCTTCGGTCTCGCGCGCGAACGCTTAACCAACTGGACCACTGAGCCGGCATCCAATGGTGATAGTTTCTAACATCAACCAATCCACGAAATTGCGCGACCAACTTCCGTTGTACTGAGGTTGATTGAGATCATGAAAAAAAAACTTGATAATCTCCACATCCCCTATACTAGTAATCAACATGTGCTCACTAGTGACTAGCTTCGTGAGGGAATTCTCGGAGTTCTAGTGAGAAGCCGTGACCAGTGGAGCTAATCCTTGTCGGGTAGAGACAGGTATCTACCTCAGTACAACGGAAGTTGGTCGCGCAATTTCGTGGATTGGTTGATGTTAGAAACTATCACCATTGGATGCCGGCTCAGTGGTCCAGTTGGTTAAGCGTTCGCGCGCGAGACCGAAGGCCCTGGGTTCGAATCGCGCTCGCGGGATCGTGGATGCGCACTGCTGAGGAGTCCCACAATAGGACGAAACGGCCGTCCAGTGCTTCCAGGTTTTCAATTGTGGTGGTCTAACATCAATCGGTTCATGATCTCAATAAAAAAAAACTTAATAATCTCCACAACCCCTATACTAGTAATTTCTTATTCTGTTTTAACAAGGTAAAGGTCCTTAAGGAATTCGGACTCCTGAAGCGTCGTAAGTCACTAAGCCCAAAGTGTCTGCTCTCAGCTCTTTTCAGTGGTAGTGATGAATATGTAGTCAGAAACCTAACTCGGTTGTTTGGGAAGGTTTGGGAAACGAAATGTTTTGGCATCTTGGATCGAAGTGATTGCCCTTCCTATCTTTTAAAGTTTCCACGTAATCTATGTAATGACAGTTGGGGGACAAGTGTGGTTTCTATCGAGTCTAAGTTATTTGCACTCATCATAATCTGCGAATTGTACGAAACCCGTGGAAGAATAACGCATAAAGAGCAGTGCGGTTTTTGTTCCGGCTATCGATGTATAAATAACACCTCCAAATTTTGGTACCTTTTCACGCTTTTTGCCGACCAACTCCGTGTTTCTTAATATCAAAGCTGTCTTAGATTCACTGAACACTAATCTGTAAGGGCACTGTTTATAAACGCATGGGGAATAATTAGGACATACAAATGCCTCTTTCTGTTGTTACATTTCAGCAGTGGAATTATGAGAACATTTGCCATTACCACTATTTATATTCGACCTTGCTACCAATGATTTTCTAGAAACAGCTCTGACGGAAGTACATAGTGATGCGGATCTGTTTTTTGAAGACTTTCTAGTCTTGAGTAGCTGGGTCATATTGTGATGCTACGCGATGATACTCAGGCTATACAAATAACATTTAATGAGTTGATGATTAGTTTCCGTAAATTGGGCATGTAGCTTGCACCCAAATGCAAAGCACTTTTCCAGGATTGGCAGGAACATGTGTCTGTACCTATTCTGCGGTGAGCCGTTAAGAGTAGTCAGAAGTTCTTTGTACCTTGGTATTTGTGTGAGTGCTGGTATTGACCTGATAGTTAAAGTTAATGTACGTATGGTAAAGGCTACAGTGGCTTATTCTAATCTGCGTCATATTGAGCATCGTCATGATGTTCGTCTGGCTGTAAAGGGTTAGGTTTACAACGCATCGGTGCGAGTTTTTCTCTGCTTGTGAAGCCTGGTCTCTGAGTTAAGGTTTCTCAGCAATTCCTTGTATTCGACTATGATTGTCTCCGAAGGGCTGCTGACATTCAATGACTATACCATGTACTGCTGAGGTTCAGTAGTATGTCTTACCGAGTTATGATACTTTAGTTGTGGCACGGAATAGAAGTCAATGACAATCCTATTCTAGCTTCCTGTGATGTTCTTCATAACATTTAGAAAATTTTCCTCAACTGAAAGAAGTTACCCCTAAGCATATTTTCAACTGAATCGTATCTATTTTTAAAAACCATTCTTGTTAATTTACTCATTGACCATACATCCATTCCTTCATTTATTTTTAAATAATATTATCCCTTGATTTGTGTGAGACACTGGTTTTGATTCCTAATTGTACCAGAATCTGCGTGGATAATAAACATTTAGATTAAACGAAAGCGTTTGGAAAAGTTACTTAGAGGAAAAATTGTTTATGGAATTTAGAAGATTCGCCTTATTCCATGGCAACCAGTGATGCTTTTTTAGTGTATCTGAAGTGACATTCCAAGTATGTTGTTTACTCTTACTTTTGTGAATTACATTGATGGTAATTTTTGCATGTGCCAAGGTAATGAATTACAATAGCGTACTGTATACCGATACGGTGTGTATTGGTTTGTTCTAATCTAATATGAACAAAAGAGTAATGTTGTGAAGGAAAATCATAACTAGTATCTGTGAAACCTTAAGTATTTTATTGCTTAGAGATGTACCAATTGCTTCAAACTGGGTTGTCTGAGATTTTGGTATAATCAGCACTCACATTTTATGCGGTACTGGGGAGCTAAGAAATATGGTTGCCTATTTGTTTTCGGGTCACATCGAAACAAAGTGCTTCTTTACAAATTTAGAGAAACTGTACTTCCTGTGTCCAATGGATTTAAACTAGGGTAAGAACTTATGAGTCATAATAGTGTAGTCACTACCTCCTGACTGTATTACAAGCAGAAGTGGATGGTAGCTAGCAGTGGGATCTAGGGCGCACGCTTCACCCCATTTGGGACTTATCAGATAGATGTACGTGCATCCCAGAGTCAGTGCCCACCCTGGGACTCGAACCCAATACCGTTCGTCTCAAACGCCATCGCGTTATCCTCTTAGCTACTGTATCCAGAGACTGGTCAATTGCAGTCCAATACATCAATGGGAAGATTCAAACTAGCAATATATAAAATGGATTGGACTCCTGACTATATGTTCTGTTAGTTGTTAATTCTCGCATGAAAGGATAGTATAATGTAACTCAATTTTGAAGTGTAATTCCAAAATTAACTGCTTCGCAAATAAATCTTTCCCTTCATTTTCCTTCGCAGTCCTCCTCGATGGCATTTTACGATTCTGAGTTAGAACGTGAATGTATGTTGAGGGAAAAGCGAGAACGAGAGGAAGAAGAGGAAGGTGGAACTTTAAAAGTATTAGAAAATACCCGTGGTTCTGATGACCCTAATGGTCCAATCACAACTGAATCTGAAGGAGAAAAGCGGAAGAACAATATTCCCCCAACACCCCGAACAAATATGCTCATTCCACCTACCTCAGCTTTTGGACGTCGGGCTCCTGCGACATTTATCCCACCATCAGTGTACGCCCCTCCTTCATACATACCACCACCTACACAGGCTCTGGGGCATGCACCCAGTTCTGCGTTCCCAGCACGTCCAACAGTCACTCCTGTGAGCGGTTTTATGGCTCCACCTTCCATGCTTCCAGTAGCCCCACCTACTGGTAGTCTCACAAACAACTGGGTCAGTGGAACACACCACATGATACATCTCCCTCCCACAGCTTCTCTTCGGAAACAACAGGACACTGTTTTGATTCCTAGTCAAAACACGGTACGTTTACTTTTATTCTGATATAGATTTTGACATCTATTCATGCTGTTTCTCTAAGTACAGATATCGGACTTGGAGAGGAAAATTAGTGGTTACAGCATTCGATTTTCAACCAACAAATCTTGGGTTTAGAATAACTTTACTGAATGAAAGGGAATATTTGTGAAGTAGTCTGTCTAAACAGGGGGCGGGACTAAGTGTTAGGCGCATTTTCACAACTGGGACAAATTATCATGCACTTGAAGATTTATTAGTTATCTAATACACAGCTTACAAATTCACATTCTTAGAGTGATATGGCTCATAATCAGTCGGACTAGTCTAAATTCATTTTCCCCTAAATCTTGAGTCTTACTATTCCCTTGTAAATACCTTTCCAAATCATGTTTTCGATTACCTTGTTATCCGTTTTGTTAATATGATCCCGCTGTCCTAATGGGATTGATCATCTAGAAAATTTTCTTATCGACTTAGATGCACAGATGAGCTAGTTTTGTTTGGTAAAAGCTCTAACAAAATACATTCCTCTGGTCGTTTTGAACAATAATGTCGGGTATGTTTCGGATGCATTTATCTTCCTTTTAATACGAAGTATTCCTTTGCTACTTATGTGCTTCAGTGCCTAGATTCGTTCTAGGTGGGGATGTAGTTGAGCGCCTATCTTAAATTTCTTGTCACTAATAGTTATTTGGTATATAGCAACTCTTCCACAATCAATTTTGATTGCGGTTAATTTTGTCGAGCCCTTTTATTAATTTATTTACAGACAGTGTTTTTGGAACAGTGACAATTCGTCTATTTCTTTGTATTTTTATGACCACTATCATGCCTGTATAAACGTGTATGCTTGATCACACGTGACAGCCTACACACATATCTCTAATCTTCTAAATTCTCCATGTCCCTTTTTTTCTCTTTCCAAATTTATTTCACTGGATTATACTCCTTGAATAACATCTTCAAACCCTAATCTTCCCGATTACTGCTTATAGTCTTACTACCTCTACCACTATGGGATTTGAATCGACAATTGTATCTGTGTGCTAATGTGGTATGGCAACTTAAACTGATGTACGTACGTACGAAGTTCTGCGTTGTTACTAATTGACTGACTCTAGCTAAAATGTTAATATCTTAAATATCGCTCAATGAGTCATTGTCTTCCCCATGTATATACGTACTCGAATCCTATTATTAGCCTTTGCCGTGCCTAGCTGCGCCTTATTCGATGTGAGTGCAAATTTGCCTCTGTATTTGCTCGCATATATACATTCGCCTCACTTCTTCGAATTCGCTCGATGTGCTTGTAGCTTTGTTATCTGTACTGTCCGCTAATAAACTGTGGTTGCCGCTTCTTATCGCCTTCTCAATTTAAACACCGTTAGGATTTATATAATAACTGTTATCAAAGTGACTGATTAGCGAAGCCAAGCCACCACAGGTATATGATGGAATCTCGACACGGATTCGAAAAAATTGCTTCTTTTGTCGAAACTTGTAACCTGATGTTTTAAAGTTAAATGAACTATCTATTCTTCCACTGCCATGCTACAGTCTACTCGTGGGGACAACTGGTTAATATCAGTAGCCCCTGCACAATAAAGTGTAGATCAAAGTTATATACATAAAAAGTCACCTGATAAATGAGTTATTTAAAAACAGCCTACTGTTTAGTGCTTAACTACCTAAAAAATTTTCAGCTAATTCAAACCATCTAGTTACTAAATATGTTTCCAAAATATATTTTGTTTTATTTACTCATGTGTTTTTCTTTATTGGTAAGATTTTCTAGAAGAACATACGTAAAAATTCAGACTTCTTTCTCTTTTCCTAGACAACCGTTGCTTTTATAGTTACCATTACTTTTTTATTACTAAAATGGTTATTTGGCTTTATCACATTGTTTTTTAGAATCATAACGCAAAAAACCATACATCTCCACTTCAGTTTGTATATGAACCTTATATAGTTGAGTTGTGTGGTCCTGTGCCACCACTTTCTAGTAATCAGCATATTCGTTGGATTGATGTTCTTCAAATGTATGAAAAAACTGTAATTGCTAAACTCGATCATCAAGCACAAACATCAGCAAACGATTCCGAAACCAAGCCTAAGTCAGAAACAGGGGAATTCGACGCTGTAGATTGTGATAGAACTGCTGTTGGTATTAAGAAAAATTACAAGACAGAAGAAAGTTTCCTAAGTGATGAGGTGAAAAAAGAGTATGATAGTGATGGCAGTAACCATACCGATATTAAAATCAATGTTTCAAAGATGGAAGACTCCTGTCCGACAACTAAGTCTTCGGGCCTTTCTTGTCAGCTAACTGCTGGAGCTTGTGGTATTTCACCTGCTGTTTTTATAGAAAGGTGTCTGCTAGAATCACGTTGCGGACTTTTTATGTGACTTATAAAAACAGAAATCTTATTGAAGATAATTTTTGTACATAAATTATTTGTTTTAGAACGAAATATACGTTTAGTTAGATGTTATCTTCTGTCAAAATCGTAGTTTGATGATATTTTTTGTTTGATGAACAAGTTTTCACTGTCATTATTTCGGACAACGGTTCCCCGGGATTGTTCTAATTATATGGCCGTATTGGGTAACCGAGCTTCGCCTGTAGCTCTTCTAGGTTTACTGCCGGTATCAAGCCCGGGTAAAGGAAGAGGGTTGGACACGGGGTCAGCAACCCCGCCTCGTAGGAAACGGCTTTGCCAAAAAACCCTAACCAGAATAAATAAATTGGACCATTTAAACTATGCCCTGAGAGTTGGACGATCTTCATTCGGAGGAATTGTGGAGCCACATAGTGAAGGCCAAGGTTCTCCGAAAGTTACGAGACCGATCTCCCCTTCTAACAACCAGAGCAGCAATTAGTATAGGTACATGGGATGGATGTCCAGACAATGTGAGAGACCGGGAAGACCAATCTGATACCTACGGAAATGAGGAGATACAACTTGACAGTGCTCGGAATCAGTGAAACCCATTGGACCCAAGCTGAACAGAAAAGTTTGAATTCAGGAGAGATGCTGCTGTACTCTGGTCACAAAGAGGAAGATGACCCACACACTCAGGGATTTGCTGTGATGCTGTCCGTAGGAGCACAAAGTGCACTTGTGGGATGTGAATCTCATGGATCAGGATCATCAAAGCATCCCTAAGAGATTCAGAAGTTCAATGGAAAACGTGTGAAGCAGGAGAGAGCCTGACATAACTCCAGATCACCACCAACTGGTTGTGGCCAAAATCAAACTGAAGCTAAAGAAACACTGGACAACTGGAGAAACAGTAGTTCAAAGGTTCAATACAAACTTCTTTTGAAATACAGTCAAACTGGACGAATTCAAGATAGCTCTGAACAGTGTGTTCCAAGCCTTGCAATAGCTATCCAACGAAGATGAAACTATTATGAAGGATAACTGGAAAGGGATCAAACAAGCACTAACTTCAACATGTCAGGATGTTCTGAGCCGCAAGAACCATCATCATAAGGATTGGACATCTATCGAAACTTTAGACAGTATTCAATAAAGGAAGAACAAGGAGACAGCAACCAACAACAGTCGAACAAGAACAGAGAGGGCCAAGTCACAAGCTGAATACACTGAAACAAACAAGCAAGTGAAGAGGAGCATTAAAACCGACAATCAGAAGTACTTGGAAGACCTAGCAGGAACAGAGGATAAAACTACAAGAGAAGGAGATATGAGGCAACTATATGACGTAACGAAGAATGTGGGAGGGAAATGTAGTGAACCGTCGAGACCAATCAAAGACGGAAAAGGCAGGCTAATCACTGAAATCCAAGAACACATGGGGGGACACTTTAGGGAACTCTTGAATGGGCCAGCTCCACTGAATCCACCAGATATCGAAGCAGCACATACAGACCTTCCTATTAATGTCACTGCATCAACGACCAAAGAAATCAGGATGGCCATAAAACAAATCAAGAGCGGCAAAGCAGCAGGAAGAGAAAACATAACAGCCGAAGCACTGAAGTCAAATATAGGGGCAACTGCGAACATGCTCCACGTTCTGTTCAGGAATATTTGGGGGGAGGTTTAGTGGCCCGATATCTGACTTTATTTGAATAGTATGAGTGATTACTATTGAAATAAACGTATCGTCAATCCTCGTGTAGTATCAGCGACTTAAATCGCGTCAGTGATTAACGGAATTAAGCGAGTCATATATGAGAATTAAGTTTCAGTACGTATATTTCATACAATCGTTGATCGGAAAGCGAAGCAACACGGAACGGCACACAATGGAGAAGGCGAGTGAATCAACTCAATTTAGTTAAGCGTGGATCGATATTTATGGTCAAACAAAAATATGTTACAGTCATGTGATGAGTAAGATGAGAAACGCATACGCTTACATAAAAACAGTCAAGGTTGATAAGCGAATAACTGACAAGGTCAAAACGTGACTCCAGAAGAATGAATAAATTGGCCTGTCCGGAAGCTAGAACAAGCTATATGGGCTTGAAATAGCAACCGACACTGCAGAGGAACAAGTGCCAACAGACAGAAATGAAGATATCAAAGAATTTAGATCTGAGAAAATGTGAGAACTACAGAGGGATCACACTACAATCGGTACCACGAGAGGTTTTCAACAGAGTGTTGTCCAACCGAATGAAAGATTTAGTGGGCACCCAACTTTAGGATCGACACACCGGATTGCGTAAGCATCGGTCGTGCACAGATCAAATTGCGACACTACGGATCATCGTTGAACGATCAATTGAATGGAACTCATCACTACCCATCAACTTCATTGACTATGAGAAGGCGATTGACAGCGTAGATCGAAGAACTTTATGGAACCTCTTTAGACACTGTGGTGTACCTGCGAAGATTGTCAACATCATCCGGAATTCATAGGAGGGATTACGCTTCAAAGTCGTGGATGAAGGAATGCTGGCAGATGCGTTCCAAGTGATGACCGGAGTCATACAAGGCTCCTTACATTCCCCCTCCCTCTTTCTTCCGACAGTTGAGTGTATTATGAAAAGCTGCGTCTGAGGGGAAGGATGGAATACGATGGACAGGTTGAACGCAACTGGACGATTGGGACTTCGCAGATAACCGAGCTCTTTTATCCCGTATACACCGACAAATGCAGGTGAGGACAGTCAGTGTAGCAAAAACACCTGTCTGTAGCATTAGGGCTCAAAACACACTAGGGAAAAAGCAAGATCCTGAAACAAAACACGGGGAACACTGATTCAGTCACACTTGATGGAGAGACTCTGGAAGATGTGGAAAAGTTCACTTATCTGGGCATCATCATCGATTAACAAGAGGGACCTGGTGCAGACATAAAGGCAAGAATTGAACATATGAAACTCAAAAGAACTTTCAACCAATATGAATGTCAGAACTGGGATCCTCCCAGTTAAAGCAGTTCTGGATTATAAGACGAATGTGAATGATGATTACAGCCATTGGCTTCTGTTCTCAATCACATCTAATACCGTCTCAAGCTAATGAGTTGCACCATCTGTCGGACCACAACCAGTAAGTTGTTATTGACCGATCGATGTCAATTATATACGGATTTCTTTCATATCCCTGCACCATTTCATAAGCTGTAACATCGTAAACTATATGATCCTTTTCTATTATGGTATCTGTCACAAAAATGTAATTAAAATGCAGTGATGCCTTTTGGTCTCTCCAAGATAATTGCACATTCATGTTATGAGAATTCTGTGGGTATAGAGTTTTTAGATGTTGGTGTTTCAGCTGTTAGTTTATGGCATTAAATGCCTCCTGAACTATGAGACTCATGATTGTGTTAGTGTGTTTACTGTCTACCACTTTCATTATTTTGTAACTCAACGGTTATGAGTGTTCTAGACACTAAATACTTCATGTCTGGCAATTAATATTGCTGAGCGTTTAAACCGTCGATAAAACTAGACTGTCATGGGTAAATTACTAATTAAAAGTGTCCAAATCAGTATTTTAGATTCTCACTGACTTATCTTGACATTAGATTGTAATATGGTTTCTGTCAGTTGAGTGTCATCTAGTTGTGACAACGGTTTGTGTGTAATAACTGGGTGTTGTGAATTTCATAAACATTAACTGTGGTCAACAACAGACTTTTGTAGTAGATATTACCTGAAGCCCTTTCAGATTATGAATACTATGTACTAATTGTACCTTTTTCTTAACTTTCAAGGCAACGAGAATCTCTTTTGTTGCTTACCTCAGACCCACTTCCATATTTTTTCCTGTGTATTCAGTTAAGTATTTGTCGAAATCACTGATGACCTCCAACATAAGTCATACGAATGAACAACTTCCTTGTACAGAAAATCACTCGGAGTTAAAAGAAGTTTTGAAACCGTGCGGTAAACTTCCGCCGACAAACGACATAAAATTGGATCGATCTTACTTTAAACGTAAAGTCCCAATGATATTCGTCGGTATTCAATGTGATAAACATGTCAAGACGTCTTTAGAGAAGTTGAGACCATTTTTCTGTCCTTTTATCCGACTACCTAAAATATCTAAAACTTAGTAAGTTTCCTAGTATAATGTTTAGATTGTTATCGTCAACACAACTCATTTCATATTTATACTGAATTGTTTAACTCTTAGAAAGTATCTGCTTGATTAGAAATTCATCTCTCTTTGGTTGCTCATTACCAAACTCCTCAGGCGTATATGTGGATTTTGACATTAACCAATGCAATGTTTTTAATGGTTAGCTACAATTGTAGCGGCGTATGGTAGTTCTATATTTTGAATTATATGAATTTCAAAGATTATAGCTAGTGTAGTTCTACCTATAGTAATAGGAAAAACCTGACTCCAATCATTTAGTGGCGTGAATGTAATATATTTCTGAGGTATTTTGAAATCGTTTTCAATTTGTCTTACAAAACGACTTTACATCCCATACATCAAAGTTGTATATATCCTCACTCTATCTCGAACAGAATAACAGATCTCGTCAGCCAGGATGTGCACTAAACACATGCTGTACGACTAAAGCAGTCGTACAAAACCTGTGAGTTTATTCATATAAAATTGTCTTGTTAGTTTGATGAATTTAAGCGATCCAACATTTGATATGTGGTTGAGTCTAAGGGCAGATAAGTGACTTCTGTACTGAACCTTTGTCGATAGTTCCCAACACTATTCGGCTGAATAGTATTGTGGTGTGTGCTACTGATGTCGAGAGATATAAGTAGTACGTATCATCAATCGAAAGTGAAATGCCTGGATGCAGAAGGTTAAGAAAATCAAAGAAAAGAGAACGGGGACAAAGAATGGTTGTTGTGGAGACGAAAAAACAATCAAGTCTGAGACGATTGTCTGAAGTATTTGTTGTATGATTCTCCGATTTTACTAAGATGTTCTGTAATTTTGTATTCAAATACATTCGATTGTCTCACTTGTGTTCTCGTTCACTACAGTATTATGACAACTCAGAAGTGTCGTAATTTGTATGCACATTTCTACTGACTGCGGTTGAGACAAATTAGAAGCTAAGTTCCTTCAAAACCTCGTTGACCTTTTTGTAACTTATTGCTTTGCCTGTTGAATTTTCGTTCACTCATCTGCACTGATACAAGTGTGTTGGTTAACACATAATTTGTTTACATCTAGAACATGTTTTGGATTAAAAATTTCTTCTGCTACCAGAAACGACGACAGCCATACTTCTGATAAGTCAGTTCTAGTCAGTAATTAATTAACCGGTGTTTACATCTTAAAAGTGAATTCTAAACTGTTTCTTCAATACACGATGATAAGTGTAGAGTTTATTCAACTCAACAGTTTACAGAGTCTACTTGGTCAGATTGGAGGATAAAGCGGTTTTGAGTTACTTTAAGAGATGTAACTATTTTTAATTTAAATTGGCATAACTTATCTGTAAGTGTAGTAAATAATTATTTTATACAGAAAATGTTAAGTATTTTCAGTCAGATTTTTTAGAGAATTATATCAATCCTGTTTACATCTAAGTTTTATTTCGTCTATTTGCTCTGAACGTACAGATTCATTCTATTTTTGTAGCACATCGACCTTCAAATTCAGTTTAACAGTGCTTTTCTTTCAGTTGTGCAACTGTTAACAGTAAGTAATGTATTTGTACCAATCTACACAATTCTCAATTTATTCGAAATTATCAAGTCAAACCTTGGTAACGATACCTGTTAACAGTAAAGTATCCATACACGTCGCCTCGCCAGTGAAACAGTCATCAGATTACCGATTTCCAGATTAAATGTATTGTTTTAAATCTAGGTGAAATATTGGTAAAAAGGATTGAACCCATGTTACCAAAAATATTTCAATTTACTATCAGTTTCACGGTGAGTTTGTAGCTGTTGCATTTAGCTTTAGGTAGACTACTCTATCAGGTAGTATCATCCTAAAAAAATATCTGCTAATCTGATGGTATGCGGTTTGGTATCGACTGAGAAGTATAAATGGTCAGAGACATTCAGTAGCTTAAAACAGGTTTCCGTAACATATGTTGATTTCATGGTTATCTATTACTACAATTTGATAAGTTTTCTGTTCTAATCTAATATATCCCGCCCAGATTCCGCTTCTTCGGGATCTCTCGATTTCCCTTAGTGTTTTGCTAAGGAAAATGTCAACTTAGAATAATTACTTCTAAGAAGATATTCTGACTACGCTCTATATACTCTTTAAAGTTTTTCAATCTTTGTGATAAGTGTTTTTGGGCACCACATAAAGCCTCCTACTCATTAAGTGTTATGTTATCATGATTTATTTCTCCTGAAATAGTTTATTCATTCTTAATAGTTCATTTTTTATCTTTACAAAAAATCACTTTCAGCCGAGATTCAAATGGATCGTTGCGTAAATTGATGCTGGTTCAAATGCCTGAACCTGATAAAATCTTACAGTTTATAACTGATTTGAATCAGTGGAACGTTGATTTACCTAAAGATTACGCAAATCTTCAACCAGTCGATTTATCTGTACCTAAATTGCCCGAATGCCTAAACGATTTGAAAGCTGAAGATTCATTAAACGATGAAGCATTTAAAAAAGTTAGTGTTGTAGAAGAAGAGATAAATATGTTGGAAAATATTGTCACCTCACCATGTCTCGTGAATATGTCGATCGGTTATGAAAATTTCACATTCGAACAAGTTATCAAGGAATTGTTGCCTGATTTCATCTTGCCTATTACTGGGTTTACTATAATTGGTCACGTTATACAATTTAATCTCAAAACTGAAGCCTTACCCTACCGTCATATTATTGGTGAGTGATGTGATGTCTTTACTTTTTCAAAAAACCAGTTGCTCTTTCGAAGTTTCAGTAAAACCTCACTTACCGGGCATGAATCCCGCTTCTGCACTTAAGATAGTCGTTTACTGACATTATTGAGGCGTGGGTCTGCCGTGAAACCGTTCTCTTGATCCCTATGTTGTTTGGAGATCAATAGACTTAGTTTCCGTATGTCTGTACCAAGCTATATTTTCAATCTATGGTTCGTATTAAGTATCTAGTGTGTTTTTATTTTATTTTTACAGGTAATTACCGGTACCATTGTGCACCGAAATAAGTATGTCCTGCATAATTCAAGGGATATATAAGAGGGGAAAGGGAAGTTCTGTCAGAAAATACAATTAAAACAAATGAGTAAACAAGAATATCATATAACACCAGATACATTTAAGCTAAAAGTGTGCTCAAGAAAGACTTCTTTTAGTCAAAAGAGGTCCTCTCACTTTTACAAATAATTTAAAACCGTAACAACAGAATCGCCACTGACTCCTATTACAAGCGATGTCTGATAATATCTCAAACCATTGAGTCGCATCATCTCTAGGACCCAACCAAGGAGTCATAGCCGATCGACATTGGAAACTGGATGCTGACCACATTAGTTTTAATGAACTCACCTAGCTGAAGGCGCTCGGCCATGCATCCACACCAGATCACGAGTGAGAACGCCGTGCTCAACTTCTCCTGCAAGCACTAGCCAGTTAAGATCATTCGTTTCTCGATATATTGATAGCCTATCAAATATATCTTCGGAGCTCCTCGCTTCTGACTTTTGATTTCTCTGGGCGGGCACGATTCAATCATAGAAGGTGTTATTGATTGAAGTGTTGTCAAACTAGAAATACCTGTGGTATCTGCAGTGTCAATGTTGATGACTTACTGAACTGTTTATTTTGTGGATTTATTTGCCACTACATGTTCAAAAAACAACTAAAGTGGTACTTAGGCTAAAAAGCAAATCCATGCAATTCGAGAAAGGATTGACAGTTTTAGTAGGACAACTATTCTTGATTCACATCCGAGAAAGTTTTTGAACTTTCATATATTTGGAAATATCAGGACTATTTATTTAATTATTTTTCCGTAGTGAGGAAAACTGACAGTCCATATATGACTATCATTTACAAATGTTTATGTTTGCTGTGTGATTCATAAAGTTATCGATTCACTTACATGTGTGACATATTTAGTTTATTTTTTCATATTACTAACACCTTTAATATTTTATTTGACAAGTCTTTATTTTGTTCCCTATCATTTCTGACTAACCAACTACAGGTCAGGTTGCTCTTGATAAAATACCAAATATTCGCACAGTTATTCATAAAGCTTCGAATATTGAATCGGCTTATCGTACTTTTGAAGTGGAATTACTTGCTGGTGTTCCTGATTACATAACATCAATGCGTGAAAACAGTGTAACGTTGCACTTGGATATTAGTAAAGTTTACTGTAATCCGCGTTTGGGTGAGCGTCCTATTTCCTGTTTATTTAAAGCCGCTAAATTTTTAATTTTCTCTTAAATTCTGTTCCAATACATTGCCTCATTGAATTGTTATTTTCTGTAAATTCCATCCGTGTTATCCCGTAAATGTCTTTTTGCATGTGTTCATAGTTTAATATTTCAAACATTTGCCACTTAAGTCTACATGTTTAGGTTTAAGTCGTCTAATAAATCTTAAAATTTCACGAAGATCAGCTTGAATGAATTATTTTTTTGACAACAATGTGCTGTGTCTAAAGTTTAAGAGTTTATACTGTAAATTTGCTCACCGTGATTCTAAAGTGGTAGATAGCTCTAAATCTTTCAAATGTCAATTCACCTACTATATCGGTCCTTAAACCAAGTATTTCGGATATCTACCATGGAACTTTCTAAATAACCTACCCTTTTCAATGTTAAACATACCAAGCATTTATATCCCGGAGGTAGTTTATATAATTAATTAGAAAAATTAGTGACTACTTCAGCTAGTTAAATTTACCTTTTTTTTATATTTGCAACCATTTGTTTTTCACCATAGTAAAGCAGATTTTTACTGTTCTTGAAGTGATTACTTACATTTTGTATGTTGAGAGTTCATAGAAAATTTCAGATAAATATTACCCAATGAATTCATCTTAAAAATAAGTGTTAGAAACTGTACATTGGCGTTTAGTGATTGGCTCTCTAGTCGGATTTTTCATGTCATATATATTCTTCCCAACATTTGTGGTACTCCTACCAATTATGTTTGCTATTTATTTTGTGTCTTACAATGGCTCGTTAGTTGTATCGATTCAAGATAGTTACGTGCCCTACTTATGCTGTATTGCTTTTTGAAAATACTCCTCACACACATATGATTGTCTCCATTTAATATGTCCGCCAGTGATTGTCTTCAGTTTGCCCATTTGTATATTAATTGTGGATACTAAGTGAGTTGGCATTCTGGGTTTGTTCCTGCTGACTGTCTAATGGTTGTCGGTTTAAAACTCTAAAAGAAGTATGTCGTAGCTTGATATCTGAGTTGCATCGTAAATGCACTGCTAAGTTTCATGTCAACATTTTTATTATTTAATGAGGCGTTTTAAGTTGTGCACTAGCATTATTCACATCACCAAGGTAAACAGATTGTACAAAAAAGTGGTTAATGTATTACCCATGTTGAAGAAAGTTGCCTGCTTGTTCCACCTAAAATCATGACTACTGTCCTGATTATTTGTATGATTAATAAATATGGAAACACTGATTATCTGCTAGAATAGTCTTGTTTCTATAAAAGCTGACAGTACATCCTATTTCCAAACTTTTTTGTTCATCACTTAACCTCCTAGCAGTCATTGTTGGTGTATCAAAGGAATGTTCTTGTTGCACTAACTGAGTTTTCAACAAAATAATTTTTTTTCGTCTAGGTACTGAACATACACGAGTCGTTAACAGTTTGCGTCCACCTCTTCCAATTAATGATCCATTTCTTACACCGCGACCTATTCCTGGAGATCGTGTAGTTGTTTATGATGTATTTGCTGGCATTGGACCTTTCTCTATTCCAGCTGGTCGAGCAGGATGTCATGTGTTGGCAAATGATCTCAATCCTGATTCGTTTATTTGGCTTAAAAAAAACGTTGCCCAAAATTCATCGCGTAAACGCCCTTTGAAAAATATTGTCTGCTACAATATGGATGGACGTGAATTTATTCGTGAAGTTAGTCATAAATTACATAAATTTGTGACAATTACCTAAACTGAGCATTTACATAGAAAATGAATTAATTGTCTTAGGCTTTGCTTAGTGATTGTTTCGTTTCCCTGTGCAACCACTATGAACTATAAATTAATGATGACTATCTTCGTAAAAATGATTTTATATATGGATTTACAATGAAAAGTTATATTTCTTAAATTGAAGTGTTTCGCGAATTACGTATCTCTACATTTTTTTGTAAATATGTAATATATTAGCTTTACCAAATTGTAGAAAGATATTGTGATATGCTCAATTAATATTATTATTGTTTAGTAATTGACTTGTCCAATGGTTATTACATAGGTTACTTGGTTTTTAATTTATCTTGTGGAAACTGTGTAATTGGTGATCATAGCTGTTGAAATGTTTGATACTGTTCTTTCTAATATTCTTCAGCTCGAGTGTTTTAGATATATGATTATTACATACTTAAACAGTTGAGATCATTCACAAGATGTGTCTACGATTCATCAAAATGAATGTAATGGTTCGGAAAAGTCATGAACTTTGTATTTCACTATTTTTATCAAAATATGCTGGATTTTTAGTTATGTTACATCACGATGAATATGATAGCGTGTTATTGTTCGATTACCTTATTTTAATTTGAAATGTGGTTATCGTCTTCATTCTTCCGTTAAGTATGTCTTAATACTTTTTAAGTTACGTTCACTGATATTTCTTTCTCGAAAGGTTGCTCTATAGCTTGTTTGTTGGTTTTCTTATAGGTGCGTGTCATGATATTCCAACCGTGTAGAATAGATCGTTTTAATAGGAAGTTTATATTATTATTAAATGATAAAACTTTGTTCGTTACTCTGTTTTACAACACCTAACTGCTATTATGATTTCACTCAGACTGGACCGAGAAATCTACGTTAACACCTGTATGTTTAAATTCTTCTCAAAGATTTACTAAGACAGCTCCCTTGAGACAAACATGTTAGATTATATGGTTTTTCGAACCAAATTCACTAGCTTTACTAACTTTTATTTCTCTGAGATCCAAGAATTCGTAGGTATAAACATGTGAGTCATTAAAAAAATAGGACTACACCTAATCAGTATCTCAAGGTTTTCATGTTAGTTGCGATGTGATAGCAATCATGATCAAGTTTTAATTTAGGAAAAAAACAAAAACCAAGTGTTTTTGTGTTTTATTTTTGTAGCTAGTATCGTTTGATAGTGGGAAACTTTTGCATTCCTCCTCGATCATTTACGTTGATCATATTCGGAATGTTTTCGAAATTAATTTGAAGTTTGTTATTTAAATTATGTATTGTATTGTCTTGTATTATAACATATCAGTTATCAATTACTTGTTTCTTTCTTATATGTTAGATTCTTCTTCCGCACTACAGAAAATATGGGAATTCTGACACAACTGAATCAGCTGATTGTGATTCTATCTCACTATCAATTGATCGTTTTGTAGTTATTATGAATCTTCCTCAATTGGCTATAGATTTTTTAGATGCATTTGTACCACCATTGAATTGTATAAAATCATCAAATATCATTAATGATAATAGTGTAACTGCCAATCTAAATGATTCATCTGTTATACGTCAAAAATTTATTAAACCTTTATATATTTATTGTTATTGTTTTATGAGACGTAATATTGAATCGGAACAAACTATTAAAATACGTTTAGCTAAAGCTTTAAATACAAATATGACTGATTTATTTCAATTTATTAATTCAACAACAAATGATGAAATAGTTGATAATATGAACAATGAACAAATTAATGATAAATGTTTCATAAGAAATTGGCATTATCGTTTTGTACGAAATGTTGCTCCATATAAAGATATGTATTGTGCTGAATTTGAATTATATTTACCAAAACTATGGTTATTTTATGATTATTCAAGTCCAACAGTAAAACGTTCTCGAACTACTGAAAATGAACTAATTGAATAAAAAAAAATATATTGAAATAATAATAAAACGTAAAACAAAAAAAGGAGTGAATAAATAACTTACTAGTTTTGATCAATTGTAAATAATATTTCTAAATATTATTAAATATTTTCTTTAAAGTTAAAAAAAAGAAGATTGAAATATAAATCAAATCTATTTAGATATGACTTGTGTTCTTCAATAGTTCTGTATCATTTCATATATCTATATACATTACAAATAAACTTTTATAAGAAAATAAAAGGAATTGTTTGAGTTGAGTAGAATGGTTGTGTATGATTAAGATCTTTCGGAGAATACATTTTTAGGTGGTTCATATCCTATGTTTAAATGATCAGATTATCTTCATTTCAAGGGGTTGTATTCTTTTGATTGAATGAAGTGATAGAGTTATTATGAAAAAGATTCAACTAACTATATTGAAAAATATATTCTATTTGAATCGCCCCCAAATGCCCTGGTACGACCGAGAGTGGGGAGAGTCCGCTTTCCCTCTCGAAATGCTCTCACATGGCCACGCGTATATAGCCTCTGCCAGGAAAGTCCTACTCACTTCCTTCTCGTGGCGAGGGTGTTGTTTACGAAATTGAGAGGACGAAAAGCGAATGTCCGGCGCTTTGACCGGGTTGGTGGACACAGAGAGTTCACCTAGGGGAGTTGGAAAACCCTGATTCCAGACCAATAGTGCACATGGGCTCCAGTATCCCGAAGGAACAAATGGTGTATTGGCCACCGACTACTATGGGACTGCCTCCTTATGTTGCGGATCAGACCTTCAGGTCGAAGGCTACGAGTGTGGCCTCCTAAGAAAATCACCTACTTCGGATTGGGCACCCGGACAATATCACAACCCTCACACAAATCAAATGAGGTTTGTGTGATGCATATGTATTTGGTGCCTCCTTGTACCAATATCTATGTGTTCAAATAAATATATAAAATAAAATCTACTTGAATCAAAAGAAATTGTTTTTATTAATTAAATGATATGGGCTCAGTGGTGAAGCGCTTGCGCGTGAGACTGATAGGTCCTGGGTTCGAATTTCGCGATTTGGGATCGTTGATGCGCTCTGCTAGAGTCCCACAATAGGACCAAACGGCCATCCGGTGCTTGCAGGTTTTCCATGGTGGTCTAACTTTAATTGATTCATGACCTCAACAATTGAAATTACTACAATATCCGCGAAACCCCTCCTGATATAAATTATTATTCACCAAATATTACTTCATCTCGTTTTGAACAATTATAAACATTCATTAAGAACTGGACGAGCGAATTATGCTAAGAATTTATTTTTCCTAAAGCACATGTAAATGACTGGCTGTTCCCACCTTTTCAATTAACCCAGCTAGAAAATGGTAGGTTCTTTACGAAATTTGTTTCTTTGATCGAAGCAGGCAAAATAGGTTCTATCGTTCAGATTCGTAAGCTAAACCTTGAGATGCACATATTTTTTAAAGCTAGTGGTAATACATAATTGGTGGAGGCGACATTCGAAACTGAATTTTGTAGAGAATGAATCGCTGTTGGAAACATTTCTAATCTTGTATCATGTGAGATGGAAGTAAACTATTTATCTCAGACAATCGTATAATACTATTGTCTATAGTAAACGATTTAAAATGATGATACATGTATTCCCAAGACTTCATTTGTGTGATTACTCGCATGCGTATAAATCTCGTAGATCGTATTTCTGGAATATTGGTATTGTTATATCCTAACGAAGAATAAATGAGTACTAACGGCTAGGCACGATTTATGGACTATTGTTGAGTATATTCTTTTCGGATAATTATTAAGTAACTTTATTATATATATGCGGGCAATTTTTTAATGTCTCTTTCATTCTTCATAGCGTCATGCTTTTCTACGTGAAGTTAATTGAAAAAGGTAAATTTATTGACAAGAAAATGAAACATCTCGATTTACTGCTACTTATGATAATTCTGAAGATCTGTTCTCTAAGCCGTTCAACTTGTTTATATACTTCGTATGGCAGTTTTACTAGGCCGTTCTTCAAAGTTTATTGAATATGCACGGCCTTAAATCTTGTTTTCGGTCATTATTATTGAGCAATTTTTCGCAAAAAAAGTGACAATTCTGGCTTCAGCGTTAAAAATGTTTAAGTTAGTTTTGAACTACTTACAAGTAGCATGGTTTATTATGTAAACTTATCATGATCTAATGGCACCGAGGGACAAAGGTCTTGTTGCTTTCCATAAATATTGCTTCGAAATTTGATCTAAAATAATAGTAGCTGTCAATTGTAATCGGAATTACTGCGCAGAATGAGCAAAATAAAGTCGCTTTTCGAAAGTATCACAACTCAACTAATATTAAATTTGTCCGCTTGTTTTTCCAGACAAAATCGTCTACACAAATCAAAGAAATTGAGTTATGGAAATCAGTGTTTGTATCAGCGCAATCTGGGACGTGATTAGTCCTAATAGGGGGTTATGATGTCACTGAATACATATGTTCATATTGTAAGTATATGCGGAACTCGTGGCTGCTTTCTAGAAATCCATTTAATTTTTTTAAATATTTGACTGTTTCATAGCAACGTAATGCTATTTAGCAAAATGACACTTAAACAGATACAATGATTTATCGTCGACAAAAATTTTTTTAATGTGAACAATTTCATGTCAAAATTCAATACGGAAATAAAGTTGATAAGCATCAAACAAAATAAGACCACTCTTTTTACTTATTGGATTAGTTATTTATTAGAAATAATAGTATAGAGAACATTATAGATTAGCTAAGAAATTTTTGGGTCAAATTACTTTGTTGAGTTATTTGCCCGGATATGGTTCCAGACAAAAAAAGCTGTTGAATAATACTAGCTAACTTAACTGATATGAGTATACTAGCACATGGTGGATTTTGTGTAATAATGTTTAATATACTTTAATGGATTGTATTGTGAAACACTGAGAAATAATTAAATGAACGTCAATATGTAGAACCGGAGGATTATTCGGTTAGTCAGTTTTTATTTGAATGTTTTAGATACATAACAGGAAATTCTTATAGTTCACATTGAAGAAAATATACTGGGTATTTACAATTGATGACGTTAAAAAATCATTTCAGTTATCTCATACCTCACAACTTCAATATTAGAAAAAGATAATTCAGAAGGATTGTGTATCTACGTTTTAGTATATTTAGGTTTGGGCTAATAATAGAATCCGGGACATGTGTTTGATTTTATTGAAGACTCATTATTTGGATGTACCTGGATCTAAGTGTTGATTTTTAGAGCGAAACTTAAGCCCAGTACCTATTACGTCAAACATCATGTTGTTCATTAATATACTGGGTCTCAGATAGCCACTAACTTGTTCAGCGGCTATTATATGTGTTCGTAAGAGTTAATTATCTTGTTGATAAGAGTGTTTCTGACGTAAATAAGAGCATCGTATAAAGCTATTCGTCTGTACTTATTTCAAAAGCAATTAGAAAATCACCTAATGTGTAACTTAGCATGAATATAGTATCTTTCTGGAGCACAAACTTACGGTTGTCTCGTGTTTTATGATCAGAGTTTAGAGGATATCAAACACTAGTAACTCTTGTTCTAAGCTGCATATATTTTCTTATGCCCATACAAGTAAAACTCCGCCTGTAGCTATCCTAGGGTTACTGCCAGTCCCAAGTCTGGGTAAAAAAGGAGGGTTGGACATTGGGGTCAGCAACCCCATTCCTTAGAGAACAACCTTCCTAAAAAAACGCTAAACAACATAAAGAATACAAGTAAAGAAATACTGCGAGACATACATTTTTTTCTCAGAAAACAAACAGCTATTATTGACAATTGATTGGTAACTTAAGAAAGAAGCACCTTTTAACTGTTCACTAAATTAGTTTTTAACGAATAATAACATTGTGTCTTCATAGCGTATAACTGGTAGACACCAATACCACAAAAACAGTTTTAATTATCATTGTAAATTATAAAGGCTTGAACAAATACTCTATGTAATAGGTTTTACTGATGTTTTTAGTTGTGATCATTTATTTCACTTTATGCTAAGAACCATATTATCAGATTACTCATTATTGTGAATACACATTATTGATAATAGACACTGTGCTATCTTGAATAAACAAAATACAATGGCTAAATATTTATGAACCACAAAATATTCTTCTCAAAGCTTAATCGAAGTCCTTCACATATGAACTTAATGGATTTTTCTTTGAGATATCAGTCAGATGTGATCAAATAACTTACTAGAATTATCATTTTTTCTATTCATTCTAACTTTGTATTGTATAGCAGAGTTCATTCCCTGTACATATGAATGTATGTTAAGATAAAGTTTGTTTAATACCACTTGAAATTAAGGATACACATTTATGGCATATTAGTTAATTATACACTTAATTATTATATAATAGTTGAAATCATGAGTCAATTAAAGTTAGACCATAATCGTAAATCTAAAAACACTAGACAGCCATTTCACCATAGTGTGAAACTCCTCATCAGTGTGCATTCACGATTCCACCTCGTGAGATTCGAACCCAGGACCTATCCGTCTCATATGTGAACGCTTAACCACTAGACCATTGAATTGGCAGAAATCTAACAGTGTTAATATTCACAAAACCCTTTCTGATATTATTTGATAATTTATAATAAATTCAATGTAGAAAACTTATTTTTTTAACGACAATTTACATGAACTCTAAATGTACATATGTATATATTTGATTGCTTTGTAATTTTCTCACAGTTTCAATGGCGTCATTATATAATAAAGAAATTATTTAGTTTTATGTAAATCATATTAAATACAAAAAAAAAATTACGATAAAACAATTTTTATTCATGGAAATTTTGTTCTTACTGAATTTAGATGAGAAATAGTCGAATGAAATATGTAATTTCTTCCACTATCTTTATTTAACACATGAAATCTGATCATATAAATGATATTGTATATACAAGTTATATGTATATAAAGAGAAAGATAAAGAGTTT